AGTATTGAAATAAGAGTTGGGTTTAGAATCAGAAGTATTAGATTTGCTCTTGTAACACTTTAGAAAGTTCAATATTTAGACAAAGGAATTGATTATCGAATTTCTAATATTAACTTCAACTTACACTGTCTTCATGACCAAACTTTGTGATCACAAGGATTTAACATATTTCATAAATGAATTAATTGCCATAGAGACTGGATAAGCATTAATTAACCGCATAGTATTGCATCACATAGAAAATATTGCTTTTTCGGCTCGCAAAATTGTTAGACTATTCTAAAAAGTAGAGCAAAGCAATAATTAATTTATGAAGGTGCTTTAAAATATTCTGAATTTACAAAATGAAAATCCAAATTTGAAATAGAATTAAAAGTGTGCTTAAGCTATGATCGATTTATTTATGTTACTGCCTACCAGTTTAATATTGAATAAGAATATGATATTAAATGACCCTGATTTATTTATAAGAGTGTTTGATCAGTACATTATATACTTGGAGAAATAAGAAATGTTGTATTCATATTGTATGGACACTGAATTTGTTGGATTTTATGAATACGATCCAATTCCATTTTTTATTTAACTATCAATTGAAATACAGCGAAAATATTTATATGCAAATGGAGGAATCATGGGAACTGTCTTATTTATACTGTTTTATTCTTTAGAATTACTTATGTCCAAAAAGGAAGCCAAATCTCTACTGCTAATTTGGAAGAAACTCATTACTCAAAAATAAAAGTCGACAAATCGTCCCTTGTAATAACAATCATTGATTATCGATGAAGGGATCCCAAATGTCTAAACTAAGATTTAAAAGATTAAGATCAAATAATAGAAGTAGTCATTGATATAAAAGGTTAAATAAAATATTTTCGGTGAGTATCAATAAACTCAATATGATAAGTATTTCCAAGATATCCACTTAATTCACATATTAAAGTTTTAATTGCTATCACATTAATATTCACATTCAGAACAATTATTTGAGATCTTTAGTGAATTACAATTCAAGCCAGATAATTTCATAAATTTCTAATGTTTTTGGAACATTATAGAATAGAAAAGAGTTTTGAGAAATATGGACATTTCTTTTCAAATTGATCAGTTTAATTTAAAAGAAATTACTTCGGATATCACCATAGAAGGCATCAATAATAAAGCATATGTTGTAATAAATCAATTTAATCAATAAAATTAACAAATTTCATAAGCCATCAAAGAGAACCTCAAAATAGGAAATGATGCTAAAAAATTTATAGACATGATATAAAAGGCTAACACAACACTTAAATACTTAGAATTATTCAAGGACTCTGACTTAATTAAAAGATCACTAACTTATATGAAATTATATGCTTATAGATAATTGCAATTTTGTTAAGAGATTTCCATTCTTTTGAATCTACACTCAATTTAAGTTTAAAATCAAGATTAGATGAACAACCAAGTCATAACATTTAATTAATAATCCTAATAGAATAACAATGAATTCTCAAAGTTATCGTATAATCTATTCAGTTAATATAGACAAGATTCCAAATAAACAATTTTAAGGTATGAAAATGAATAGCTCATCTAACAACTGATAATTTAATTTAAAGTCAAGTTGCATTTTAAGTAAAATACTCATAAACGAGGATTATGGTACTATATGAACTATGGGGATGCTCATCTTTATGAAAACTTAAATTAAGTCAATTATGATACATTTTTGGAATTGTTAGGAAAGGAAAGATATTCTATAAATAGTTATGAAGATAGTCTAAGAAGAAAAATGTTTTTGAAAGTATTTGCAAAATAAAAGAAATCGTATGAGCATATTTAATTAATTAATAATATCTAAGTAGTATTTAATGATATATTCAACACTTAACAACAATTATAATAGAATAGTAAATGTGTGGGAAATGAAAGCCAACAATTTTTGGCTGAATTGATAACTCAAAGAGGATTTTATCGTGGAAAGATACGAATAACAAGTGATTATTTGATGTTTGAAAACTTTGGTTTGGAGTTGTAAGAGCAGGAGATCTAATACAAATTTTAGAAGGAGAGTCTGTTGAAGGCAGAGAAATAGAAATTAATTCCGTTGTCTTAGATTAAGGAAGTGTTTACAAGGATGTATTTAGCTTAATCAACTGCGATAGAATTATTTACATGTAATAATAAGACATACTTCTTCAATTTGTTAAATAATCGATCAAATGTACTCAAATTATTGGGTTAAAGTGTTAATGTGATTACTAATCCTTGTGAATAATTTAAGAAGAGTGGAATCATGGAGAAATGGAGGAAAGGAGAGATCACTAATTTCCAATACTTGATTGAGATTAACAAATATAGTGGTAGAACTTATAATGATTTAAATTAATATCCAGTATTCCCATGGGTGATAGCCAACTATGTGGATTTTGATATATAAAACAAGGAGCATTTCAGGAGATTAGATTTACCCATGGGAGCATTGAATTAGAAGAGATTGGAGAACTTTTTAGAAAGGTTTAAAGAGGCAGATCCAGAAGATATGAATATGTATTTCATCTATGGCACACATTATTCCCATAGTGCAATTGTAATGAGTTTGTTGATGAGGATGGAACCCTTTGCTTCTTTACATCAAGAATTACAATCTGGTAAATTTGATAAGGCGGATAGATTGTTTCATTCTTTAGAATAGTAATGGTATTCTGCAATAAACTCAAGTAGTGATGTTAAGGAATTGATTCCTGAGTTCTACTATTTTGGAGAGTTTCTGAAGAATAAGAATAAATTTGATCTAGGGTAATTGTAATCTGGAACAACTGTGGGTGATGTAACATTGCCAGGTTATATAAGTACAAAAAGTCCAGAAGAGCTGATATTTATGAATAGATAGGCTTTGGAATCTGAATTTGTGAGTGCCAGTTTAAATAATTGGATTGATTTAATATTTGGATATAAGAGTGGACTGAATGCTTAGAAATATAATAATTTATTTCATCGTTTGACATATAGCAGTTATGTCTAGTAATTGCTAGAGAAAACAGAGGATGAAGTCAAAAAGGAACAATACATAACTTAGGTGAATTATTATGGTTAAATACCATAATAACTATTTAAGAAGGAACATCCATAGAAATCATAATCAAAAATAAGTGATTAAAGTCCTATTATATAATTTAAATTCATTACTTAGATTCTCAACAAATCAAGTAATATCATAGATTAATTCTTTTGCAATGAAAAATATTTTGTGGTTCTTACGAATGAATAGGAAATCATTGTGTATAATATGGAACACCGAATCATCAGCCACAAAATACCAAGAGATTTTAGTACTCAAGAGAACAAAATAATGCAATTCAATTCTAACAATGTTTTCCTCTTATTTGATGATTCTTTAGTAGTTGCTGGTTATGTTGATAATTCTGTTAAAGTGTACTCACTGAAGGACCTCAAATAGACATATTAAGTCTCCTTTCATACCAAAGTGGTCACTTGTTTGGGTTAGAGTGCTAATTTTTTATTATGTGGAAGTATGGACACAAGAGTATCCGTTTGGGAATGGACCTTATAACATCAGCCTGAATTCATTTTATATGGGCATCAGAATGAAGTCTCTATTATTTAAGTTGACTCTATCCTGGAAATCATCTTGAGTTATGATGTTAAAGGCGATATTCTTATACATACTATGAAGGGAGTATTTCTGAAATTAATAGAGACTTCTCTTTAAGATTGTTCATCAATCAGGTTGCATCCATCTGGATTTATTCTTTTATCATTTTTGAATTTGATCAGCATCTACACTCTTTAAGGAGAACTTTACGTTTAAAGGGAATTGCAGGACCAAATTATCAATGTTAATGTAATTAATGAATATTCACCTGAACTTGTAAGATTTAATCATATTCTTAGTTGGTAACCACTCTGGATGGGGGTATCTTTATTACCTCAATTATTTAATTGAGATTATATGCTGATTTTACAAGATATTGTTTGAAACAATATAAACTAGATGAAATGGAGATGAAGTTGGAAACAAATTAAATAAAAAAAGTGAAGGAAATGAGTGGAAAATCAATTGAATTCTTAAATGCACTCATTTCTTATTCATAATATTCTTAAAGTATAAATTTGTATACGAAAATTTAGTATAGGCATGTCGAGTATTAATTATTGGCTTTTAGAACGGATAAGTAATTTCAGTATACGAATAACCTAAATAAACTAGCCTATTATGAACTTATTAAAAATGTTATTTATTTATTATATCAGATTTTTACTTTCGATTTTAGGTGTTATGTTATCTTCTCGACAAACTGTTCATCTTCAGCAGACAATTGTTCTTTCTTCAATTCTTGAAATGGCAATTACTCACTCACTTCAAATTAAGCCAGTTGGTTTAGGAAATTTTATTTAGCTAAGGGGTTAGCCAATTATTCCATGATTTCTGATTTCTTTTCCCTCAAGAAATCTTTCACTTACATCATCACGAGCTATTTCGAGTATTAATCTAACTTTTATTGTGTCTCTGTCAGAGTTTAACCATTGTGAGAAATCTCGGAAGATTGCTAATTGATTCGAATCATAGGATGAAGGAATTATAAATTTTCTATAGCATATTCGCTATTTCTATAAGAAATTATAGTAAAAAAGTAATATTACTTAGTTTTGTCAATCAATGCAATCACAGTTGTATTTAGAAGTTTTACCTTCCTGTCCCTGGTTGACTTTTTCCCAATTCTTCCTTCCTTCAAGTAGACTTGCAATATAGCCTTTACTGTTGATGGTTTCAATTGAGTTTCTTCAGAGACCTAAGGTAAATTTGAGGTTTAAGTACTTCTTTCAATGTCTTAGCATTCTTGGTGAGTTCATTAATTATGTGAGTTCTTTGATCGTGACTAATCTTCTTGTACCTAATGATTAGGCCCATAATTCTACTTCATATTGCGAGATCCCTTTCGTATTTTTTGGCTGCTATTCATTTTTCTGTGTGTTTTTATTAATTAATTATGATTCCCTCTACTCGAATTTGTATAGCACCAAATTGTTAAGCATAATCCCGATTAATTTAATCTATAAAAGAGCTTGATTATCATCAAGGTCATAGTTCCTCAAGTCTGGGCCAACTAACCAAGAAATTGAAGGAGGCACTACCTGATTTCCCCTTCACTGCAAGTATCAAATAAATCATCGAATCCAGATTTCAAATTATTCACTCGTACTTACAGAAGAAATAAAATATCTATTAGAAGTATAACTCATTGATGTCATTAGAAAAGGAAATGTGATAAATATGAAATGATTGAGGCAGCATCCAAAATTATTAATTCCGAATATTCCTTATTGAATGAAAAGGCAATAGATTTAATTATTAAGTCATTACCCAATAACATCTCTGAAACTCTACAATTGCATACTGCTCAATATTTTAATTTACAAATTCAAATTTAAAAAGAATTGGATGATTTTTTTCTTTTTATTACTTCTGATATAAAATAAGAATCAATTTAATCAACTAAATAATAACAATCCAAAAATTAGAATCCATCCACACCAATCGCAATCACTCAAAAACCCTAATTCCTTAACATGCCCTCCGAGTACGATCAACTCTCCAAATTCGAAATTAACAGCCAAATGGCTAAGCATTTAGAAGGATGTAAGTTCTACGATCTCAACTTTAGATCCATCCATTGTCATGACCAATCAATTACTCAAAGAAGGCACTTAAATCAAGTTTGAAATCGTTAAGATTTAAAATGACTATGTAAGTGTAGGCATCGGTGCTATGGAAAGAGCATCTATTCAGAAAAATGGCTTGATTCTTAATGGAGAACAACTGTAAGTTGCAGGCCATGGTGTATATATGAACTTTAATGATAAATGTGTTTATCATAGTGAAATTGGGAATGGGCAGATTTAAGGAAAGGACAAAGGAATTGCATTTTAAGAAGGGGATCAAAGTAATTTGAAAATTGATCTTTAGTTCTGTGCAGTTATACATAAGGAAAGTTGACCTTATAAAATCTAAATGCAAACTCGTCATACTCAATGAAAATTAATTTGAGCGATATTATTTTAGTGGTTTGGTTAGACCTGAGTGAAATTATTATTATATGATTATCAAAGTCTTCTAAAAAGGTATCTTTCTATTTTCACCTGGCTTCTATTCAAATAAATAGATTAAAATACTTGTAATATATATATTTATTATTATTAATGGAGACTAATCAAAACAATTTATAATAAGATTAAGAAAATGACCATTATTTCATCTGCACTAGTCCTCAATGTCAAAATAGAGGATGTTTCCTACCAAGTAGGATTCAAAACATTCATCAAAATTGCAATGTCCTGTCATATAAGTAATATGTAGATTCAATTGAAAATAATAATGATTAATTTTTCTAATCAGAAACCTTTCAGAAGTATATAATCTAATCATAAGATTAGTTACGATCAAAAATTAAAATAGTATTTAAAGAAGATCCAAAAATTACAAAAGGAGTTGAAAGAAAAATCATTAATATTCAATAAGTAGTCACTTAACTTATATTTAAAGTATAAAAACAGAATTAAATGAAGCGAATGCTTACAAAAATAAACTAAAGCAATTACTGTAAGAATTCAAAGATAAATTGACTCAATCAAATTTTGAAGTGCTAGAGCAAGCATATTAATCATACAGTATATTTTGTAAACTTAATTTAGGACAATAAAAATCTATTAAGAACATTCAAAGAAATTTTTAAATAATTGAAAATGAATTGAAAATAAACTAATATCTATTATCAATCGACTAAGTCGAATTATAGGATGACGATAATTCCAGTGATGAAGACTCTAGCGATGATGAATCTAGTGATGATCTAAACACAAAGATCTTAAATCAATAATTAGACCCTGAAGCATAAGAACTAGAAAATAAATACAATCAAGTGTTTAATTTCTTAAGGAATAATGCCAAAACTTAAGTTTAATAACATAATGAGGAATTACAATCCTAATAACAGGAATAAAATTAATCCTAGTAGGGGGAAGAATAAACTAATATTAAATTTATTGAAAAATTAGGAAATAATTTAATCATAGTTGCAACTGAGAACCAATTAAGAATATACGATTTAATATCTAAAAGCTTTTAATCGATATTAAAATAAATTAATGCTAAAATCACATCACTTTAAGTTACAAATTTTGAATAAGTAATTGTTGTTGGGAAATACGATGGAGATATAGGAGTCTTGGATTGGAACCCGAAATAAAAGTCTACCTCTAAGTATTAATTGATATAATGTGTTGTAGACCAAGAATTTTTAGAGTAAGTAATGAAGAAGGAAGGTTATTCGTAGAAAAATTGCAGTCAAGACATATTGCATGTTTAGGGAGAGATGGAAATTGTAAAATTTATGAAACAACTAATTTCGATGTTATAAACAGCTTTAAATTAGATTAAGGAGACAAAGTTGTTCCTACTTGTTTTTTTGCAATATCTTAACTATAATTCTTTATTGGAGCTGAGAAAACTTTGTTTTTTAATAAAAAAAAAATAGACTACATTTTTAATGGAAAAATAAAATAAATTTGTTAGTTTGGTAATAGATGGTTGGTAGCAGATGAAACAACCATTTACATCTTAGTATAAAATGGAGAATTCATTTCTTTACTCAAAGAATTCCATTTTTCTCCAAAGCAAATCATTTATATGACTACATTTTATCAAAGCCAATGCATTTTCATCAATACTAAATCTGCTAAATCTGATGATTACGAGAATCAAGTTGCTACTATATAGATATCAGGTGAATAAGTAGATCTTCAATTAAAACAGCTAGATATGAAGATTCAAGTAAAGTTGCTGAAAGGATATTAAAATAACAATGAAACTTTTCTATATGGAATTGATGGTTTTAATGTAATAGAGCACAAGATGATTAGAGATAATGATAATTTTATAGTTTTATGAGTATTTGTTGGCAGAATTATAAATAATTAATAAATGCACAAATAATCCTTAATTCTTTAAAAGAAAGCTCCTAAGGATATTAATGAACTAGACTAAGCATTTAAATTAATAGATCAGAAATTAGATGCTCCAAGTTCGCAATTATTGCTAATGAAAACAAGATACATATCAATCGACCCAATTATGAGGGTGTGGATATCAGGAGCAAAAACGTAATGTTCATATTCTAAATTCTAAGATATTTGCCTGCATTATAGTAAAATGACATTATACATGCATTTACTTTGAGTTCTCCTGTGGATAGTTAGAATGACATCTATTTTGGCCCAGCTGGATTACAAACTCATTTCTTATATGATAAGACTAACAAAAAGAAGCAGCTAATCAAAGTTCCACGCTAGATGTTATAAATGATGTAAAAATGTGAATTGCAGAATTCAAACTTACTCACAATCATATTGAATGGTTTACCAGCATATTATGGACTAGTGGATTTCTGTAAGATTCAGAAGGGATAAAGAGTTGTAATATCAGCAGCCGCTGGAGCCACAGGGTTATTTTGTATTTAACTTGCCATAAACATGCAATGCGATGTTATAGGGTTCACAGGAGATAAAGAAAAAATAAAGTTCTTATAAAACTAATTTCCAACTTTAAGAATTATAAATTATAAATTGGATGATTGGGATAAACAAATAGAAAATAACAGCGTAGATTGTTATTTTGATAATGTTGGTGAGTATATGCTTGAAAAAATGATTGACAAAATGAGGAAAAATGGAAAGATTGCCCTATGTGGATCAATGGGAAGCTCATCAAATTATAATGAAAGACAAGGATTGAGTAACATGAATTAAATCATCTATAAGAGATTGAAATTGAAGGGTATAACATTCAATTAAGAACTAAATAAGTAATAATTATGATATACTAGAATTTAAGCTGCATTTGATTATTTATTTTAACAATTTCAATAAAAAAGGCTAAGAATCTTTTAGGAAGAATATAATTAATTAAATGATACTCCAAAAGCATTAAAGCGACTATTCAAAGGTGAAAATATAGGGAAAATAATTATTAATTTGGATAATTAAGCGAAGTTATGATTATTATTTTATGATTTTAAGTTATGTAATTATTTAATCATAAGTGAATAAAAAGTATATAGCTTTAAGATCTTTACATTTTATTGATAATTATAACATTGAGTTTGAATTAATTAGAATTCTTAGTTCAGCAATGAGATCTATGAAATAATTTAAGTATTTATAGTATTCTTAATAGAGATTACAAATTAATATATATTTCATGCTTATCCAAAACATATAAATATGTTTGTTAATAGGAATAAATTAATTTATAAACTTAAATTTCATAAATTCAGAATTTGATGAATCCCTATCCCAATCTAGAAAATCAATAAATTTAAACTCCACTTGATTCCTAAAACAAAGAATAATATCTTGTACCCTACCCCTAACAATAATCACCAATATTATTTACATAAATGATGCATAGGAATAATGCAAATGATTGTGATTTTCCAGCTGATATTATTTGTCCATATTGCTAAAGAATGATTTAAACGCGTGTTGAATATAAAATGGGTGTTTACTCCTGGATAGTAGTAATTTTATTGTTAGTGCTGTTTTTCCCTTTATTCTTTTTGCCATTTTGCTTTTTGGAATGTCAAGACAAAGAACATAAATGTCCACATTGCAATAAGAAAGTTGGATATAAACAATATAGAATAGTATGAAAGCAAGGTATGAATTTTAAAATAATCAACACTTCTTTATAAGTATAATTATTTTCACTCTAACAAACTTAATGTTTTAAATAATAAAGAAATAATATTGAAGATTATCAATAAACGAAATTAAATTGAAAAAAAGAGGATACCAAACATTTGCTATAGTAATTGATATTCAAATATTCTCATTAAAGTCGGTATTCCTCACAATCTCTGCAATCTACCCAACCCATCTAATTCTTTTTCATAACAATATCGTTATCTACTTCAATCAGCGTCTTCTCATTTAAATTTTCAATATATGGAAATTTCTATTTAAGATCATCAAAATTCAGGAGTCTATTTCTAATTTAAAGACACTCAGCCTTATCCTTATAATTCACTATTATTTCTCCTTTTATTTCCTTTATTTTTACTGTTCTAATAATCACGTAAGTGAGAGGTTTATCAACTTCTACTTTTGTTGCTTCTTAATTTATTTATATTGATTCTTCTACTTTTGGTTTTATTTAAGGCAAAGGTTTTTTTATTTTTTATTATTTTGCTTGCTTAGGCTTTTAACAGATTGTTTTCTTTTCTTCTATTATTTTTACTTTTTCAATCGTTACCAATGATTTAGACTGTTGTGATTATAATTATGAGCTGAAATTATTTTATTATTTTTTAATAGGAACAAACTTTCTCTACTCACATACCTCAGGTTTAGATGCACTTATTTTAGGTACAAGGGGTGTGAGGATTTGAGTACCCAAGGCTTAAAAGTTTTATTGTTTTTTCTGATTGATCATATTCGAAAAGTTATGATTTTTGATATAATTTATAACTAAGAGGGAATAGGATAATGATATTATAATTGATTTATGTATTGAATAATTTTTGATTTGGACATGGATGAATTCAATTTTAATTAAAAAATTAATTATAATGGCTTAGGTTAATAAGAGGAAGCAATCTAAATCTTTGGATGATAGTGAAGTAGCAATAAACAAATTAAGTGATAGTATAGGGTGAAGCAGTGTAAGGTCGGTGGATAAAGGAGGAGCATTAGAGATTCGTAGAGGCATTGAGCCTACATGGGAAGAATTGGAAGAAAGTTGAGGAATATGTTGGTACAAGAAGTGGAGCATAAATCAGGTATTTTGTATACGATAGTTTCATCAGATCTCATGCTCAGAAATTTTTCAATCGTTTAGAGAAAGAATTCAATTAATAATTTAATGGACTGAAAAGTTCAGAGATTAAGGAAATCTTTGAAAACAAGAAGTTTCATTAATTTTCTGAAGGAGATTAAATGCAAATGAAATAGAAGAACAACTCTATCATGGGTATGACATCATATTTTTATATTTATTTTTAGATGTATCCGACGATGAAGTCCAGATTAATGTGGAGTCTATGCAAGTGGAATCCAACCAATAATAGCAACAAATTAAAGCCCAATTGCAATAAGGTATTCTAGACCTCAATCTGCCTGACTCCCAAACTCATAATCCTACTAAAGAATAAGTCACGAAATATTAGCAATAATAAAGGAAAATTCAAAAAAAACTCCAAGATGTTTAAGACATGAATCAACTACCAGATGAACTTCTTAAAGAAATTTGTAATCTGCACAAAGAAAAAGGACAGATCATGGCTATTTAACAGATTCAAAGCGCCTATCAATCCATCTCAGAAGTCAATCTGAATGATGATTTGCAGAATCAACAAATAACTTAAGAATAGAAGCAACCCTCCACCCTGGATCAAGATAACAATTAAGAATCCAGACCAGGAAATGATGAGTCCTTTTTTCATTTTATCATGTATTCAATACCTCATTAAAATCCAGGGCCAAAATTTCCAAGTATTTAAAGAATAGGAAATTGAGTTTATCTGATTTAATAAATGTACCTAAATCTGAAAAAGAGATCCAATTAGATTCTCAGCCACAAAAATGTGATCAATAGCAAGAGGCTGAGGGACAAAGAAGTAGAAAACAATCATTTACTTTTTATAACGATTAAGACGAAGATAACGAAGCTCGATATTAGAATCTTAAGAAAACTAAAAAAGATTGAGATGCAACTATTTAATATAGTTTATTTTATATTTTATTTAACAGAATCCCTTAAATGTACACTTACCCCGCTTCTCAATAATTCAGCCCTTACTCTGTTACTAAGCAGAATTAAGCAGGACAAGTTTAGCGATCTACGCCATTCGATGAAGATAATGAAACATCTAATAGTGGATCTTAAATATTCAATTAAGTTTAAGTCACACCCTAAAATCGAGTTAATTTGGATGAATTATTTGATGATAATCAAGTCAAATCCAATCAAGATTTCCCATTTTGGGAACAAGACTCACAACAAGGAAAACCTTAAATAAATACTAAGAATGCTGAAAATTCTTTGTTTAATTTTGAATAAAATTTGAACAACTAAATATTTGGAATAAGCCCCTTCAATTAAACCTAAAAACCTTAAGATGAAGGACAATTGCAACAATAATATTAATCCTAAAAAACTTAAGGTGTAGGATAACCTTAACAATAGAATATCAATAAGCAAAATTAAATTCTAGACGAATTTGATGAAATGTTTGAAAAAAGTTCATAGGATGCATCTCAAAATGGATTAAAAATTGATTAAATTTAATAGAATAATCAAGAACCATTTCCTCTTAATTTTGCTTAATAATAATAATAATAATAATAATAATAAATATAGCCTAAAGTCTAGAATGCAGATTTGGATGGGTTTTCCTTCCCATTTTTTTAAGACCCTTTGCCTCCCTTCTAAATTAATTAAAATACCAATTAATTTTAAGGGTTTTAAACGAAAAATTTATAAATACGAGAGGAAAATTAATCTAAATTTGATGAGATGTTTAATTAACCATCAGTTCCGAACCTATAATTTTAGATTGATAATAAATTGCATACTCCAGCCAATTAGTCTTAAATCCAATCATAGAAATCTTTGAATGAGAAGCATATTCCAAATTCAAATAACAGCTCATCAATTAAGTAATATCCATTATAAACATTGTAATTTCCTATTTAAAACAACCTAACCCAATAAGAAGTAAAAAATCAACCTCCACAATTAAATTTTAGTCTAGATTTAGATTAAGATAATAAACAACAGAAAAGTGTAAGCAATTCCTAAAGAGATGATTCTGATCTGCCTTGGGATGACGTTTAAAAATCTTAGGCATAACAAAAAGCTATTGATTTTTTTTAAGGACCTAATTTCTTTGAAATAAACAAAGAATTAAATCAATAGCCAAAAGAATAAGTTTAAAATAAGGAAGTGTTTAACTTATGGCAAATTGATAATAATGACTAATTTAATAATAATCTATTTTAATAAGAAATCTTCAATGATGAGTTAAACTTATAATAAAATTAAGACATTTTCAATAAAGAGCATTAGCCTATTCCAACTTCCAATTCTTTTGATCAATTTAATTTGAATGAGCATGATATTAAAACCTAATTTCAGGCATAAAACTAATAAGGTTCAAATTAATTTGATTTCCTTTAGTGGAAACAATAAAATACAGTCTAATCAGAAAGTGATGATGTATTGGGGCAGTTTTAATAGAAATTAGATGTGCCTTAAAAAGAAGATGACTCAGATCAAAAAATATAGAATCAATAAACAAATTAATTCGAATATCCTTTCTGGAATGAAAAATAAGCTAAAGCTTAATCGGAAAGTTAATCTTCAGTGAAAGATGCAGATGAAAAATTTGAGTTTGGATGGAATAATATTTAACAAGGAAATTTCTAACAAGATAATCAATTTTCAAATTGGGATGGATATGAAATAAATTAAGAATAAAAGATGGACTACTTTCACAAGGATGACTTTGATCAACATAGGAAACCCTAGCATGATTAGGAAGGCTCATAACTTGAACAATCAGTCCATAATTCTGAATCACCTACTCAACAGATTACACTTTATGGTAATTAAGGTCAGGAGAAAGAGAATAAACTCAGATTTGTTCAGGATGAAGGATTTTATGATTAGAAGGATAATCAGAAAATCAACTTTGATTCATTTGATTAAAAGGAGAACTTTATTGATGAATCAAAAGTAATTCAATAATCTTAAAATAAAACACAGTCATTTGAATTTCCATCATCAGTCTAAATGGGTTTCTATAGTGTGAGAGAAAGCAAAGAAGATAATAAGGAATAAACATATGCAGATCAAATTATGGAATTATTATTACCCAAAATTGCAGAAATTACTTAAACTTTGAGTAACGATTTTATGAATACTGCAGGTAATTTTTAGTAAGAAGGATAAAATGTATTGTATGAGGGAATTTACAATATTTTATAGAATGAAAAGCGAAGAATTGGATAGAAGAAAGAGAAATATTTAAATTAGTAAGTTTAGATAATTGAGGATATCATAGTGCAATACGATAATAAGACTCATTAATTGTAGGAGTAAATTGTAAAGGTAAAAGAGGAATAGTAAAAGGAAAGATAGAAATCTACAGGTAATATGAGTTTTGATTCAATTGAGATAAAAAAATCTAAATAGATAAATGAGTAAATTGAAGAATCACCAATTTAGAATATTTAATTATAAGTTAGTCCAAACCCATATACACCATAAAATTCTTAGGAAAAACCTCACATCCCATTCTAATTAATACACCAAACATAATCCAAGTTTTTAAATGAAAGCATTGTAAGTCAAGATAACAAAGAGGAAGATCTTATCAAATTTTAAACAAATTAAGTGTTCTAAAGACAATGTTTGAAGGGATTGTAGCTGAACGAAATACAGAAATTTAGAAAGCAATGTTTGAGTGATTAAGTAGTATTGTTAGAGACATAAGAATTGATTATTACATAAAGTTCAGAAAAGAAGGATAGTACAAATTAAGAGTATAAAATGACATTAATTTATAAAAATAAGGGGAGCAAAGGGATTTAAAATTTAATTGTGTGCTTTGAAGGAAAAAAATGTATAAGTTTACTTAATATAATTAGTAAAAAATGATTATTAAGCTTATCCATAAAAAATAGCCCATCAATTTTTAAAGCCTGGAGAATCAATAAAGTAAGAGATCAGATTTAGGTGTTATGATCAATTAGAAGTATATTTGAATTGCTATTTAATATACACAGTGATGGATAATAGATTTTATTGGAGTCAAGGATAATAGGGGAGTTAAAACAATGAACTGTTGTATAGATCATAGGTGAGTTATCAAGGTTACAATAATTCATAGTATAATCAATACTCGTAAGGGTAAGGTAACACTTAATATGATAGGGATTCTAAGAGAACCTATCAATTTATAATAGGGAAACCAGTGAACAGATTCTTCGCATACAATTACTGGACGGTGGAAGAACTTAATGAATACAAGATGAGATACCAAGGGGAGGAATTTCCGTTGAAGTCGTTAGAGGAATTAATAATATATCACCCATGGTTGGTGTAATTAGACCAATAGACGCTGTGTGGGAAGGTGTTGATTCGGTTGGAAGAGAATGATTATGATTTTGTTGTGAAAGTAGTATTGAAGGATCAGAAGGGTATAATAAAAATGAATCAGACAGATATGGATTAAAAGTTATGTGAACATTTACTAAGTTTTTTAAGTTTTCTATTTTTTAAATTATATTGATTTTATGTTAATGAAAATATATCACAAGATCTTTCCTACATGGATTTTGTACCCAAATTTGTTTAATTCTCTGTTAATAATTTTGGCTGCATAGGGCAATCTATAGAATGGGATTTGAGGGAATAGATGATGTTCTGTTTAGAATTACATTCCTCCCATCAATAAATTGGATAACCAATCTATATAGACTTAATTAAAATACCTGTCCAATCATAATTTCTGGAGGTGATGATTTAATGTTCAATGAATGGTTTGTCGATTTTTTTGTAGAATTTATATTCTCTTTCGTGGTTACCAATTAGAATGCATGCACTGAAGAATCCTGCAATATATTGGGCAACCAAATAGATCCAAATTTTCTACTAGAATACAATTATCTGATGTAGTAACACATAGAGGATGTCAATTTTGTTATAGGATGCAACGACTGAATCGAATTTCCATCTGTTAAAATTTAAATAAATAGTTACTTCAAATAGAGGAATCCGTATTACCACTTTTGATAGGTGTGATCTATGTCATCATCCTTGCCAATTCGATTTGTGAAGATGTGATGGTTGTTGTGTTTGAATTACCACCAATCTGCTGAGAATCCGTGAATAATACCATAGGGAATCGACAACTTATACAATAATGGATTTCGATTGTGATTTGTTGAATGGCCTTACCATCTAAATGTTATAATATATATATATTAAATACCCAGCCACTATCTAAGTCAATGCGATGGTTGGAATGGCGATGTACCAATCAGTTGTGACGCCTAGATATAATCCGAGGCTCAACGCTAATAAGAGACCGATTTCGATTGTCCAATCTGGGTTAAAGAGATCTTTGACCTGCTTCTTGATGTGAGAATATCGTTTGCTATCCTCTGATTCCTTGAGATCAGTGCGTACGACTTTTTAAGATTTCAATATTTTCAATGCCTTCTTTGAATGCAAACATCTAGCATATGGATATATAAATATACCTAAAATATTCTGTGATGTCCTATTTCTCATCCTTCATTTTATCAAAGAAGCTTTTTCCTGCAGGGTGTTTAGGAACATATTCTGTTACATCATATTCTTTGTTCTTGTAAATGAATCTGAAAACCTAAGACTCAAAGTTATTATTACATCTCTACTCTCAGGTGTTTAAATTCCATTATTGTTTGGTTCTGGTAATGGTGACATCTGATATTCTAATAAATTAATAATATCTTTATTAAATTTGATTAATTTTTTCACTTTAAATTTGGTATTTATATATATTATGAATAAAAATAATAGAAACGAAGAACTCTTAAGAGAATAATATTGTAAAACACAAGCCGAACGCATTCTGGACAAACAACTATTCAAAAAGACTAAAGTAATTTACTCTATAAATTAGGGATAACACTTGCATTAAATGGAAAAGTAGATTTATGGAGATTAAAATAAAAAAGTGAAAGTCGAGGAAAGTTCGTAGAAAGAGCAGATGAGTTGCTAATAAGCTATGGGTTTAGTCCTCAAATATTTAAATAATGACAATAAAATATTTACTGCTCTTAACAAAATTAAGTTGCTAATTAAGGAATTTAAAAACAAATTCTATGATTGCCATTTATTGTAAATACTTTATTGCATATCAATAACTAAGTATTAATTCAAGCAACACGAATGTGATTAATTGGTTATCGAAATCTTTGATCTATGTCAAATACCCCAATTCACATAAGTATTGGATGTACTAAAAATACAATTGCAAACCAAAATCAAACTCCAAACTGATGACACCTACCAATTTAATAATGTTCTTAAGGAATTGAAGAAGATAATAGATGAATTGAATACCCTTCAAGCATTACAACCAGTAGATATTCTCTAATTGAACTCACTATAATAGATTGAGGCATACGAATATGAAATCCTACCTGAATTCGATCAATTTCTTGTAATATCCTTGATTTATTGTAGAACAACAAAGAGACTCAAAGATAATAACAGTAACAGTATGTGATTAATTGTTTGGAAGTGTTGATTGATCAATTCAAATATCAATGGGCCAAAACAAGCATTCACACATTCATTCAGCATTTGAATTTTAATCAAAAGTATTAGATGTTCTCACTTTAATTATTAGGTAATAATTTGATGAATCTTTCAGAAAATAAATTGATGAAATAATAAGTAAGATTTAGAATGCGAAAATACTTTATAATGCTAGTAATGATAGGGAGATGGTTTAGAATGCGAAGGTGATGTAGGATTATTTGAAACCCATTCATGATGTTGTGGATAGTCGGGCCGTGGTGAATACAGGGGATGGTTTGGATTAGTGGGGTTTGAAATAGACTGGATTATGATAAAAATATATTCTTAAGTTCGTTATAAAATAAAAATAAATTTCAGTCGGGAATTGTTATATCATTGTATTCATGTCGAAGCGTTGAAGGTCATCATAATTGTTGTGGTGGAGGTGATTATAAATAATTATTGAATAAGAAGTTCCTCATAATAATATGGGTTTGATTCTAATTAATTTATGCTTTATAATAGTTTTTTTAAGTCAAAGAATCAGAGTCCTTATTCTGTCAAGCCGAAATAACAAATGCGATAGAGTTCATTTGAGAAACCGAAGAAAGAACGATTGCGATTGCAGTTATCTAGCAAAATTGATCAATTTGAAAAGGAAGCCATATTGAGTGTTATGAATTCAAAAAAGAAATCAGCGAGCAAAAGATTTGTATTAGTATTGGTTAATTTAGAAAACAGAACAAGGAATAGACATAATTGATGATTTCTTAACTTTGGATTCATGTATTGCCAAATAACAATCTAAATCAAGATCTTTTAGCAACGCATTCCCCTCGAATAAAAGTGCTGATAGAAAATCTAACATTTTGAATAGTGCCAATAAAAGGCAAAAAAGTAGTAATTAGAAGCAGACACTGGATGAGGATTAGCAGCCAGATAATTTCCCATCATAATTTCAAAAGATTAAGTTACTAGGAAAGGGAGGATTCTCTTTAGTTTGGTTGGGAGAACACAAAACAACAAAAATGAGAGTTGCAATCAAGCAAATCAAACAATCCGATTCGAATCAAGCTTATCTAAGAGAGATTTGGTTTGGATCTCACTTTTTTGACAACGGAAATCCCAAACCTTAATTCAAATCCTCCGTTGGGATCAAGAGTTTGTTGCAATATCTAGGATATGAGATAGGATCTAATGATACCTGGATTTTCACAGAAGTATGTGGAGAAAGTCTAAAAAATACACTCTACGAATTGAAAGGACAATAAATTAAAAATGAAATTGTATTCAAAGTAATTAATCATGTCAATATTCAAGATGATCTAAAAACCCTTATATCTAAATTTAAAATCAGACCTTACTATTCTCAAAAAGATTATTAAGGATGTCGCTCAAGCCTTAATAATATTAACGGAATAGCGAATTGTCCATTGCGATCTCAAAACAGAAAATATCCTCATTAAAAAATCTAAATGTCTGAATGGATCTTACCTTATCACACAAACCAAATTGATAGATTATGGAAGCAGTTTCTTGTTTGATGATCTATCCTAATTCTCTATGGCTACTCCTGAATATATGTGTCCAGAAATCTTGAACTATATACAATACGAAAATGGCAAGGAATATGATACCAAATTATTCAAAGTCCTATAAAATTATTATAAACCTTGGGTAATAGACATATGGTCATTGGGGTGTGTAATTTTAGAAATAATTTATGGAATTCCCCTATGGCTAAGCAACAAGATCATTGTTAAGCATCATGACAAGGAAGTGATTGAGCAAGGCTTATTTGCAGTGAAGAATAGAGCCTTTGATCAGATAATTCAGAGACAGGCTCATGTTGTTAAAAATTTGGACCATTACTTAGATAATAATTATTCAGGTATATTAATTGGCATATTTATTGTAGGGATCAAAGTCGATCTAGAAATTAGGCTCTTGCTTCGAGAGATGCTGACGATTGATCCAGACAAAAGGATAGCTCCGCATACCATCATTGAATTTCTTTAACCTACTAAAGAAAGATTGAGAACTGAATGATATATTATATTTATTAGATTGATGCCTTGAAGTAACTATTATTTCCAAAATTAGATTTAATATATTAATCAATAATATATATATTCATTTCTGCGATACATAAGACATATCGCCAACTCAGAAGTTAATTTAAAATGAGATCGCCTTTAAATTACTTAATTGAAATTACATTAAAAAGAAAAAAATTAGCTCAAAACAATAAGCGTGGAGATTGGATATGCAATTGTTGTAAGAAATTTATTGAATTAAGCTTGAATCAATTGAATAAGATAGACTAAAGGATCTTAAATAACGGAATTTAAAAATCTCAATTTAGAGTACATCGACTAATTCTAAAATTTTTTTTACTTCTGACTATCTTAAAATCAAGTTATTTTTAAAAAATTCCTTAAGTTTTCCAGATTTTATGAAGAAGATCTGGTTCGAATTTGATTATATAATAAATTAATTTTCAAAGAAATACAGCCATATAATTAAATGAAAAAGAAATCTGTATCTACAAGTGCTTCGCTTCCAATGCCTTACTTTAACGTGTACTTCAAAATTCACTATCACACTCAACCAGGAAAGGCAATTTATATAGTAGGTGATAGTAATATCCTCGGTAATTGGGTGTCTACCTAAGGAGTGCGACTACAATGGAATGAGGTATCATTTGAATGATAATTTTCGAAAGAATGACGAATGGACAATTTGTATTAAAATAGATCGATCTAAATATTTGAGGATCGAGTATAAATTCATTGTTAATAATTATGATTATCCAACTTTGAATGATACACTGTGGGAACCTGGGGAAAACAGAGTCATCACTAATCATATGATTGAGAATGAGACTAAATCTGAATATTTTAATTGTATTTAATAAATTAATTATTCAAGGTGAATACTGGGGATACAGAACAATTAAATTGAAATTAAATTACAATTTACCTGAAAAGTAGAGAATGATGATAGTGGGCAGCATTGAATAACTAGGTCAATGGATTCATCCAGTACTCATGAAATAATAGTCTAAAATTGACATAAGTAATTTTGATTCAGTAAAATTTAGTAAGTGGAGAGACAGTATAATAATGGTCGATCTCCTTTATTGTTGACTCTATGCATTTTTCATTCAGATATTTCTATGTCATAAGAAATGATGACACAGGTTCAATGATATGGGAGAGAGGTAATGGAAGATATTTGAAATCTAGTGATCTCAAATCCTTCAGATTGGTTCAAGATCAATATTCTACATCTCCCATTAAAATCAAGACTCAATTGTTAACTGCTTGTCAACATCAGCGACTCCATAACAAGAAAAATGGATCATTTTGTTCAGAAAAACAATAAAAGCTACACAAAGAAAAAAGCATGGGATATTCATTTTCGGATAAGGAACCATCATTTTTTTATTATGAGTCCTTTGGAAGACTCAATAAATTAGACTGGAATTTTGTAGTGCAATTCTCCATCACTCAAATAAATGAAAACATCATCATAGGTCCTTATCCCCAAAATGAATAAGACATAGTCATCTTAAAGAATTAGGGTGTTAAAGCAGTTCTGAATTTATAAACAAGATTGGATGTATATCATAGAGGAGTGGATTGGGATGAGATTTTATCTAGTTACAAGAAACACAATATTTAGATGAAGAACTTCGAGATCTTTGATATGGATCCATAAGATTTTGAAAAAAAAATACTTAAAGCTGTGTAAATACTCAAGAAATTAATCAACTAATATGAATCTGTATATATCCATTGCACTTCTGGTATTGGAAGAGCACCCTCTCTTGTAGTCATCTATTTGTCATCTGTTTTGTAAATTCCATTAAATGAAGCAATAACCATTGTGAAAAATAAGCGAGAACATTTTTATATTAATTTTAGTATTTATTAGATATTTACATAGACATGTTGAAAAGGTCTCTAGAGAAAACTATGATTTACAATAGTGGCTTAAAATATGAAAACACCTCCCATGTTATAGATTTTTAAATACAAAGTTCTGGCAAAATTAAAAAATAATAATTTGATTACAATCTACTTTATTGAGTTGGAGCAAGAATGTGTTTAATTTATATATATATCCTATTTTATGTGAAAATATAAACTTAATTCAATCAATTTCAATACTTTTATAAAGTATAAAACAATTATGTAATGTAATGCAATAATTTAATCATAATGATTGAATAATTTGTTTTGTTTAATAACAGAATATTATCAATTTATTATCAACAGTGTTTAATGCAACCAAAAGAAATTTAGAAAAGCCACATAAATTCTTTCTAAAGTTGTTTTTGCACTAACAGAATATTTATTATTATTATTTATTTCTTTTTAGTGATAAGATCAAAGTCATTTAATTATTAAAATGAAATATTTGTATAGAACTATCTTTCTCTTACTTATTATTATTAATGGAAGCTCAGCTGATAGAATCAAAGCTCGAAACAAGCGAGTTCAAGAGGAAACTAATTAAAATACATGGGAACCAATTAGAATTTAATATTAGTTTGCATAAGATAGTTATGAAAATGATTACTAGGATTTCTTTTAAAAGTTATTACCTGTTGCATCAACATTCTTCACAAGATACTTTTTAGTACAAAGATTGACCGAGAAAATTACATTTGATACTCTTGATACAGAATTTTTTGAAAAAAAAAATATATCAACATCACTTGCTAACAAACAGTTTGATGCAGACCTTGTAAACATTATAATCATATTATATTTAGCTCATCTTTTTGGTTTTATTTTCAGATCCACAATCCTCTAAAGCAAGTGCTGCTTATTTTAAAACTGATTCTGAAACTAAAAGACCTGCTGTAGGTTATATTCAATGGAATACATTTTTCACCAATGTTGCAAATATGACTAACTCTGATTTCGAATATTATGCACAACGTTTAATTACAGTTACTATGTATGTTATGGGTTTCATGTTTTAATCATTTGTTAATTATTACAATAGTTCATCTAAGGAATTGTATTCTGAAGTTATTATTACTGAGGATGGAATTAGTTATTTATCGACTCCTAGATTAAGAAATACATTGAAATTGCATTTTAATTGCAGTTCTATTAAGGGAGCTTAACTTGAAGATGAAGGTGGAGCTAGTGTTCAATTATCTCATTTGGAAAGAGCTGTGTTTTATAATGAAATTTTAACAAGTTCAATAATGGAAGGAAAAGTCATAATATCTGAATTTACATTTTCTATATTTCAAGATAGCGGGTAATTGATCATTCAATAATTAGATTCTATAATTTTATGGAATACTACCCAGATAAAGTACAGTGGGGGAAAAACAAAGGATGTGATTTTCTGACTAAATAATGTAATGGCGAATTTGATGAATTTTGTTAAGTAGAAAATGAGGGTGGATGCTCCTATTTAAATACAGGATAAGCAAAGTGTCAATCAGACAAATACAGTAACTAATGCAAATATTTTTAAATCTAACAGGGATATGATTGTAAGGATAAGTCATCTGCTGGAGGAGATTAAAAATAAGAAACATTTTAATATTTTGGATCTGATAGCATGTGTGTTAAAGGAGCAATAAGTAAGGATTAAAGTGCTGCTAATTCATAACAATATAGTTGTTACTAATACTCTTGTGATTCAAACAATCAATTAAAGTTACTAATAGATTAAAAACAATATGATTGTTCATCAACATAACCTTAGAAACTAGATAATGATTATTTTGGATCATTGATATGTCCAAAAGATCCTGAAGAATTTTGTAAATCTTAAAATGATTGTGAAGATTAATGTAGTTAGAATGGATATTGCTTAAATAAAATGGTATATTACTTTATTTATTATTTCTAGTGCATATGTCAATTAGGATATTCAGGTAAAAGTTGTTCAGAAAATTGTTCAAATTATAGATATTAAAACGCATGCTTTGAACTGTGTCCAAAAAATTCATATGCCATTCCCTCTATTAAATATTGTGTTGGATGTCCTGGAGTAATTATTCAATTTATATTTTATAGAATTGCTATATTTGTGAAAGTTATAATAAGTGTAAATCATGTAATCAAGGATATAAATTAAATGCAATAGGATTTTGTGATATCATTGATCCCTTTTCTGATGTGGAAGATGATGAGAATTAAACAGGCTCAGGGGAATAAGATGATGAATAATATGTAGAACTATATTTTAATTACGAATATGAGAATGGATATATTCTGGGGGCCACCATTATTTTTTTGATATTATTCTGATATTTAGGATTTAAATAAAATTCTATAAAAGGATAAATCATTCTTATAATCAAATTTTTTATTCACAGATGGTAAAGAATATGTGAATTGTAATTTAACAAATGGAAATTAAAAATAACGCTAGATCTAGTATCTTATTTTCAATTGCATATTTTATTTTTAAATTCTGATTAGAATAAATATAATATTTAAAATCAATCTCGAAGAATTCTATCATTATATGCTTCCAAACCCATATTGAAAATTTATGATAATTGTTATTCATTAAATTAATTTTGATGCTGAAGTGGCTACTAATATGGATATTACCAACAATAAGGATTATAATATGGATACATCACTGATGGGTACTAGTAGGATTGCCCCAATTTTGGAAAGTAAGTTGGTTTCTATTCTTGTTATGGTTTTTCTTCGCCTTTGAAGGAGAAGGATGATTGGTAAGATTCATCTGATGTATCTACTGTAATTGTTTTAGTGACTTTTTTTACTTTCTTATTAGGAAAATATTCTTCTTTTTGTTGATTTCTAGCTATTTCTAATTTTAAATAGTCATCTAATTATTTTTGTTTAGAAGGATTAGTTTTTTACTTTTTGTTATGATTTGAGTTAATTCCTGAATAGTTCATTTATTATTATTATACTTATTGTTTCATATCTTTGGCCATCTTTCTCTTATCCCTTAGTTATTTATTAAATTCAATACGATCAGCTAGCATCCGCATTAATGGTTCATTATCATCAGGCATCAATTACTTTAAGATAGATGCAACAATTTCAAAAGTGCTTTAAGTAATTTAAGTTTATCTTCTTATATTTTCAAGCAATTAAATTGCAAACATGTGTGATTAAGCTAATAATTGATTTTAAGAATAATTGTGAAATCTTTTTATGACTCCTGTGAGTGAGAAAGTAGCTTCATTATCATTTAATTCAATGGTTGCATTTATTTTCATCATTTGTTTCTGCACTTAAAAAAGAATGGATAGAAATTCCAAAAATTGCTCATCAGCAGCTTCTAATATATTTACATCTGTAAATTCAATATCCAAATCATTACAATTAATTAATTCTAACAATCTTTGACATATCTATTCCATTTGGCATTTTGAAAATTCCATCTGTCTATTCTATTAATTTATTGAATTATCTTGATTCTAGAATTAGGATTGGTTTCTTAGATCATGTAATCTTTGGACTAAAATTGGGGCTATTTCAAAAAGAATGTTTTCAGCATCAGTTTCATTGCTAGTTTATGAAATTCTCTTATAAAATTGATTCCACCAAGGATACTTAATGCAAAATCCTTTCAAATTTTCAACCAAATTACTTATACTGATTCCTATAGTCAGGGGAATATTTCTTTATAGATCTTCTGATAATTATGGAATGTTTTGTGTTGGAATATTATTTTTTATAAATCCTTTCTCAAATTCAGCCGAATCATTTTGAACTTTTTAATCATTTTATGGTAATTACCTTTTTTCGTTATTTTCTAGTATTAATTACAATATATTTTGGATTTCTTCTTATGAATAGACTTCTTTTATGAAATCTGTTTTGCTGCCTTAGACCTCAAGTATCTAAAATATTTTTGGGATTTCTTATGGAAATCTAGTTAAAAGGAGCAAAGAAATAGTTTTAATTTTTGTCTACCATTAATCTTTTGGTATTGTTTTACTGAAAGAGCCCAATATGACATTGATATCGAATTTGCATGATTTAATTAAACTGTGAGTTCTGCAATCGTAAACGGAATTTGAGTCAATGATGATAATTGGTTACATATATTTAAAAAAAAAGAAGGAAAAAGTAAAATAGAATTATTATTTTAATAAAATCCTGTTTATTTTTATTTTTAAATATTTAAAAATAATAATTTCACATTCTAAATCCAGATTAATAACTTGAATTTGGTTACCCCTATCTTATAAATTGAGAATCTCCTTATTTTAATAACAGTCCTTTTGGAATGAATTCTCCTACTTATTGCAAATGTTCTTGAAGAATACGATTTTTTTCCTCCTCTACCACTAATTATTTATAAGCCTCTTCTCTTCTCTACCTTTCTAATTATTCAAGTTCCTTTTGCTTTTCCATCTAATACATTTCCAATTTCTATTGCCATAATCTTTCAACTTCCCTTTTGTGTTCAATTTCCTTCATTCTTCGTTTTTATTATCCCAATTATTCTAATTTATCATCTTCAGCAAACTTTCTCATCATTTAATCTCTGAAATCTCTTTCCATCTATTATTCCTCCTCCTTCTATCTCTATTTTCTTAATCGTGCCTCTTGTTCAGCCTGCTACATCTCTCTCTTTTAAAATTCTCTCTTGTTAGCTTCATCAATATCTTTTTATCTTTACTAAGCATCATACTATTCTTAATAAAGTTGAAATCTGAGTTCAGTTAACAATTCAGCCTCTTGTCTCCTTCTTTCCTCTTCTTCCTTTAATTTTTGAAATATTTTATCCCTAATTAAATTGTTGAGATTAATGTTTACTTGGCTGCATTCTCTTCCTACTTCTTAACCTTGATTTCATGAGCCTATCTATCCTTCTCCTTCATAAAGTCCAAGTATTTCTAATTCTCTTCTCTCTCCCTTTATTTCATTCTATAGATCAGTTCAGCTTTCTCCCTCAAAGCATTTTGCATGTCAGAGAAGGCTATTTTCTTCTTTTTTGCCTGATCCTCTAAAAATTTGCGATCTTCATTTATTAATTGATGAATAACTCGATTGACTTGTTCCTTCTCATAAATGTATTATTCTTTGGCTTCATCTCTCAATTGCTCATGTTCTTTCATTTATTTTTATAATGTCTATTGATGATGATGGATTCAAATACATATTTTCCCTCTAATCTCTATTGTAGTCTAAATTTCTCCTTAGACCTTTCTTCTTCTTGTTCTCTTTTCAATTTTTCTAGAATAGCAGCTTCAATCTCACTTTCTTATTTCTATTTTTGAAAATATAACTGACTATATATACCAACTCTTAAATTCTTCTCAATTACTACTCAGCCAATTGTTAAGTTCTCTCCTTGGTCACATATGCAGTCTAAACTTTTTATTTAAGTAGTTTGATTTCTTCACTCTCTGCACAAATTCTTTCGATTTCCCTTCTTTTTTTTTCCTCCTCAACTTTACGTTTTTACAACTCTCTAGCCAGTTAATCTTCCAAGGAATAGGGATCTGTAATAGGATTTCTATTCGAATTATGAATCATATGATAAATAATGTTAATTATAATATTTCATTTTAAAACACCTGCTTAAATAAGTGGGAGTAGATTAGCATTAGGCAAACTTTGATTCCTATGTTTGTTCGGTCTAATCCTGCGTTTATTTGGAGATAACTCTTCCAGTATAGGTAGCTTTTGATTTTCCAATGAGATTTTAGACTACTGCTGAGTGATGACATCCAATAGACTCACCTCCTCTTGACTCGAATGTCTATTTGGTCGAATCTTCATGATTGGTTTTCGAATTTACTAAATCAATTTCAAATTTCTCATACTTTGTTCTGTTATTCGAGTATCATAAGAACTTCAGGCTAGGGCTTTCGATTAACTAGATTAACACCTCCCTTCTCTATCGACTTCTAACTAGTAGCATCCTCGTAACTACCATTCACACTCATTATCGATCGAGGATTCGGACTAGCCTGTTGTGAATGAAGCGACTTTATCTGTTTCCTATTCATAAAATCATAACAAGGCTTGGGTAACATAGATGTAAAATAATGGTAGTTCTTTGGAAATTTGATTGTCGATAACAAAGTATTATGTTCATTATCTGCTTGTTCTGTTTGTGGTATTTCCTCTTGTCTTTTTAATAATGAAGGAAATTGTAAGAGTTTATCACAATTAGGTCTTAGATGTGGTTATACTTACAGCATTGACCTTATAACATTGTTGAGGTCTTGAGAATAATGCTGAGGTATTTTTGGATAGTATCCTCGTATTACTCGCTTATACAAGCCTTCCATATCTTCTGCTTAGAATGGAGGCTTCAATGCTGCCATCTCATAGATTACGCATCCCAAACTCCAGATATCTGATTTTTGATCATAAGGCTGATCCTTCCACACTTCAGGACTAGCGTAGAAGGGAGTTCCAGTCTAAGTGTAAAGTAATCCTTTCTTGGCCACCTTCGATACATTCATATCTCCCAACTTCACATCTCCATTTTGAGATAAAAATACGTTGGCACTCTAAGGATCAATACTTCCAATACCTTCAAATCTCTATGCAGGATTTTCAATTCATGCAGTGCTTTCAAGCCTCTTACGATTTAGATGAAAATATTCCAAATTCTCTATTCTTCGATAGGTTTATTGTTCTTTTTACTATTCACAATATTTTGATACAAATCACTTCCATCTGCAAACTCTATCACTATACTAAATAACAAAATAGCATGTCAGCATACCACAATGAATTACTCTATAAATCAATGAAGGCTTCTTTATAACAAATTATATTGGGGTGCTTTACTGATGCTAAAATGCGAACCTCGTTCATTGCATTCTACTTCTCTTTATCATTCAGGTTCTGTAATTTTACCTTCTTCAAAGCATATTCGTGACCATCTTCCAATCTTTTTACTTTGTACACCGAAGAGTATGCTCCTTCTCCTAAAAATTGCTAGTTTTACATTACAATACCTAATTTCGAGATAACTTAAAAATCCTTCAAAGACATTTCAGATTATGCTATATAATTTTCTTAAAATAAATTCGTATTATCAAATCAAAAAAATCAACATAAAATTATACTCTAAAGCCAATTATGTTCATATACATATATATTTAATTATAACATATCTAATAAACCACAATAAATGAGTAGTGCATAATGACCTAGAATCATTGAATCGTTTGTATTTCTACATAATATTATGACTTGATTTAACTTTACATTATATAAGGTATACAAGATAGTTATATTTAGTAAGATCTCTTTGAATTATTATCATTATAATTCAAAGAGATTCATTTTAAGAATTCTTTTAAATTATTTTCTCCTTGTTATTCGCTAAGCCGTTGAAATCTATTTTTGGTTTACATAACTATATTATCAAGAAGGAGATTAATATAAAGAAATTTTGATCTCCTTTTTGAGTTGAACTATTGTGTAAGGTTTAACTCAAAAAATCTGGTTTTCAATTTTATTATTGATTTGAATCTTCTTTAAAAAGAATAAGTTGTTATTATTGATTTATACGAATAAAATGAAATAAACTTAATTAGGGGATTGAATTCTATTATTTTATTTATAAATTAATAAAAATTAACAAAAAATTAACAAAAAATCTGAATTGGAATAAGAATTTAGATATTATTATTTTCTATCTGTTTGGAAAAGATGTATCAGTGAAAATGCTGTGAAATATAATATAATTAATTAAATATAGCAGCATTTTTAGATATTTATTCATAAATAAATTTTTATTTTATACAAAAATCCTTGAAATGTACAATCACTCCAATATATCGTACACTAATACAAATAGTTTAAACCGATAGGAATTGCAAGAGTTTAGAAACTATGTGCGCAAGACAGCATAAGCTAAGATGGATGGGACAGAAGACAAATCAAGATAAATTGCAAAAACCTTTCATTTGGATCACAAAAATTTGATGTCATTAAATTAGAGTCCATTACAAAGTAAGAAGTTACATGTAGATCATGACATATCATAACATCATCATCTAGCATCATTATCAGATTGGAAGAAATTTGATAGATCTACATCATAAAGTTTTGTCTCCTTCGATGCCAACACCTGGAAAGAAGATTAAAACAGTATGAGATAAAGAAAGTTGTAAACACCTTCTCTGAATGCAGCTGATTTGATTAAAGTGAACAGAACACTTTCAGGATTGAGTACAAAAGAAATCTAAAACCTAAGTGGCCAATATTATCATTAGATTCAAGAATTAGAACACACGGTAAGTTCAATGTTGAGAAGAATAGATTATATATAAGCTTCCAAATCCAATTATTGAGCATATTATAATGATTATATTATAGATTTAGAGATTTAAAGTTCTGTTTCTCTGCTTCGAGATGTCTTAATTAGCTCTTATCATAAAGGGGAATATCATCTACCATCGAAGATAATAATGTTAGTTAAAATAGTTGATATAAATTCCGTAATTTAATTAAATTTATTTAGACCATATTATATTAATTAAAGTAAAATAAAATATGGAAAGATATTGTTTAGTTCCAGAACATTAAAATTAAATCATTATGGCTTATTGTATTTCAGAACATTGTCGTAAGTAAAATAGAGCGATTTGTTTTAAATGTATGACTGATTCGACACACCAATAACATAATATAATCTAAATAACTTAAGAAGAGAGTTTCCTATAACAGGTTAATATCCATTATAGGGACATCTCAGATAAATTAAATGCACTTAAACTGTAGTTTTCTACAGGGATTGCTTACTTAGAAATGCTTTTGGATAAATATTACAGACCCATACCTTTAGGTAATTTCGGAAATTAGGAAATCACCAATAAAATAGATTGCCTGTTAAAGCTTGAAAAGGTTTAAAAGCTTATAAACGACAGAGTAGACAACATTTTTGAGCATACTTTGAAATCAATAAGAATTACATGCCATGATTTGACCTAAGGTTAAGAGTTATAAGGTATAATCAAATTTAGAATTAGGCTATGAATTCTTGTCAAGGCAAAACTATTAGGAGGCATTAAAGTTGGTCGATTAGAGTTAGAAGGTTGATCCCAAAAGTGCACTTTTGAAGTTGGCTAGGGGTAATAGAATAATAAATATGTATAGCTGAAATTTACTAGAATACAAATAGAACGCAAGAGGCGAGATTAATTTATTAGGAGATATTGCAATTGGAATAGTATAACCCTTGGGCTTCAATTGAATTAAGTATTTGTTCATTTCTATTGGATTAGACAAACTAATTGGTTAGCAAGAACGGAGATGATTATACAAATTATCAAAAATTATCATTAACAATCTCTATAAGTTTTTCAATGTCAGATTAGTAGTATTTCCAACAATCGTCCCAGAACACCTAGACAAATCCCAACTTAGTTTTTAATTCAAATGAGGCTATGTTTCCTATGAAATGTTTTGTGTTCTTCTTATGTTTAACTGCCACTGATTAATCTTAATCAAATTATTTCTCTTTTCCAGCCAAACTATCCAATCTAGCTGAAGTGTGCTTGGTATAAACAAATTACAAAGTGAATGAACATTTCATTTATTGCATGGTGGCATAATCACGTCTAATCATGTCCATTAATGAGTATTTATCATTCTCATCCAATAAGTAATCATTCTTATTGAAAACGATATTGAATTTCCCATCCTTGACTTCTTAAGCCAAAAATCTTTTATTGTAGACTCCATTTTCAATAGTGATCCACCCAATGATATTTTGCTTAATTAAATTGTTTAGAACTGCCTGATGTGCCCACAATTCTTCCAATAGTGGATATTTAAGTCTGAGCCTATTCAATTTGAAAACTATAGTAAAATAATTTCCATTTAAATAATATGAATGTACTCCTAATATCACAGGCAGAAATATCCCAAGAGCACAAGTGTATTCTTAATCCCATCTTTGCCACAATAACTACACTCCACCGCCTTTAGTTAATTGTCTCTTTTGATCTCGAGTTATGAACTCAATCGAAATCAAATTGTCATGAGTAATATACAAAGTGCCCTTCTATGGCAATTCTTATGATCTTAAATTGTCTATATTAAGAGAAATATCCAACGAATTCTTTATTTGCTTCAGATTTATACCAAAGTAATCTCTCAACTTCAAACTCAATATGTCTTGCCCATACGTAGTTACCAAAATGTGCTTCGTCTAATTAATTTAAATTGAACGCTATTGAATCTTGTTGAATTGATAGTATGTCATCTCACTATTCTAACAATACTGATACTCTTCCAACATCTCGTAACTTGCTTACAACAATAATATTATTTCATTGTGTCCACTATGTTCTATTACATTCTATATCTCAATTTATTGAATCTACGTGGATTCCTAAGGCATCAAAGGTCCCACATCATATTGTTCTAAGGAGAGAGTCAAATAGTTTTGTTTCTGTTACTGGTACAACTTAATACCAATTATGTCTTGTCCTGAAGTTTAGATCAGAATATTCTGATAAGACCTATTCTACAAATCCTCAGTCTATTGATTGGTTTTGTCGAGCAGTCTCTCCTAAAGAACACAGGCCTTGGGTCTAAACAAATACTTGATATGTCGATGAATGATGGGTTCGTGGAGTCGGATTATCGTCATTATCAATGTCATTAGAGCTTGGATGAATTACAATATGTCTATCAATTCTTCATAATTCTGGTTGTAATTCAGAATTATTGGCTAATGTATATATTACACTTTGATTACAATTAGCAATCTTGACACTATGAATAGCCAACCGTAACTCACATTTACTTTAATGTAGGTATGCAAGTATTTCCGTATGAACTTATCCATTGAGGTCTTGTAAATTTCAGTTTACAATATTTCAGGGGAATGTCTTTACAACTTTATCAATATTATCGATAATATTATCATCAAAACACCTCGAAGATAGACCAAAAATTTAGCAAACACATTCTAAGATTCTAAATTGCAATCTCCTAAAATGCTTGTCACTTTATAAAAAATACCTAACACCTAGATCTTGACTCAGCAAAACCAATAAAATGGAGATTATTATTATTAAGACCACTCCTAACATTACTTCCTCCTTCAAATTAAAACTCTTATAATTCTTGACATAAATTTGACAATATAGATTGGCTATTAATACAATGTTTAATATTGCATATAACATTGAAACTATTAAAGAAGGGACGGCTATCAATTTACAACTCATTTCAGAAATAATCAATGCAAAACTCGACTGCTTCGACCCATCAACAACATAAAATTGACTCAAAATCATAAACATACTCATTATCTATTATATTAAATTTTCAAATACAGTTTGTGTTACTAGTATGCTAAACAATATCTATCCAGGGTTATGCCTTAATCGTTTGACTTTCTACTAAACAGTCATGATTATCGCGCTTAGCAATATAGTACATCCATATATTATGCTCAAAGATATAATTTTTAACATTTAATATTAAATCTATTTATAACATAATTTTTTTTTCAATTCTCAACAGCCATTTGCAGCTGTCCAATCAAACAGCAATGTCCTTAAAACCCATAATTTGGAATTTATATCTTTCGAAAACAGAAACATTAAACTATTGGATAATCCTTTACAAGTTAACTTTAGGTTTATTATATTTTTCATCTTAACTGTTACAAATATGGAATTTTCTGTTGTACTCTCAAGAATTGATATTTTTATAATCCTCTATTGATACTTAGGTACTTAGATTGCTTTGTTATATATTTCATTCTCTGTTATAAATCCTTTATTAGCTTCAAAAATTAGTGTTAAATCAAATTTGCAATTGCATTTTATAATAATATTTAATATATATATTTTGATATGTGAGAAATTATAAATTGAATTTACAGATTAGTAACGCTGAAATTGTGATCTTTACTTCAAAAATATGTATGTTTAGTAATATATAATAAATAGTAATATACAAATTTCTTATAAATATTATTAACAATCATTCCAATAGGATGGAACTTACACTTTTTACAGGATGCATTCTTTTATACAGGTAAAAGAAGAAAGCTATTAGTATTGCTCCTCCACAGACACTAACCAACACTATCCACCAGGTGTTTGATCTAATAATTGTAAACATATAAATTACGATTCCTCTTCGATATGATAATTGATTATATAATTCAAGGATTCTGACGCAAAGTCGTTCCTACCAGTGATATTTATGTGCTGTCGATCTTATGCTCCTTTCACAACAAAGTATACATAGTCATTTATGCAGTATTCTAAAAAAATCTAATTTTGTGTATCAACTATTAGATAATTACCATTCAAGAAAAAGAATACAGGATCCTATTATGATTAGTCAATCTGTAATCCTGATAATATTTTTAATTATTCAAATTCGACTGATTATTGATTGAAATTAATTTTATATACTCCGATTAAGACTTTATTTTCATTCTTATATGAAATTGAAATTATGTTATTTCCAATATCAAACCTCTAAGTTTCCCAAAATCCATACTAAATGATCATGAACTCTAAAAAGGGATTACTCTCATCATCATACACAATCCTAATCCCATATGATCCAGCATTATTAGTTAGAATGAGAAATCTTAAGTTTTGAACAAAATTTTTGGTGTGAAACAAGGTTTTTATAAAGATGAATTATGTATCACTTAGGATTGAATAATTATTTTTTTTTATGAGGTATTTTGTATCAAAAGTCTTTATGTTAAATACTACGTAATTGTTTTCTTTATAAATTCCCCGTAAAATGCCCACCATCCCAGTTCGATCTAAAATTTAAATGATAAATTCATCTCCTTCACTCTAAGTAATGTCAAAATCAACGGCATGAAATAGGCTTTTTAACTTTAAGTAACTATCATTGATTTAAATTATATTCTTAATAGAAAATTAACCATTCTCAAATACAATATCTCCAATTCTTAATGTGTCTCCAGTCAAAAATACAATCTTTTTGTTTATGCATCCAACCTTTTTAGTTAAACCTTCAAATTAATATAGGAATCCTAAAGGGAAACCATCATCAACTTTAGTAATATGAAGGTAAGATTCAGTCAAACTATTGCATAATGTGTAGAAGAAAACTTTATCTTAAAAAGTAAAGGTGCAAGTGAATTTGGGCTTCACATCTAAATTGATGAGTGAAGTTAATTCGAATTATGAATCTAGCAACAAAAATGATTAGGCTCCTTGTAGTAATTTAGTTACATTGCTTAGGGATATTAGATTATTAAATTGCAATCCATTTGATAATTAATAGTCTGTCTTTTCTATAAGATTTTGGATTGTTACTACATCCTTAATCTCACTTTCAGCTATGAAATCTATCACCTGACCTTCATACCATTTATGAATCATAGGTATTTTCTATTCATATTTCTGAAGATGTAATTTGTTTTTGTCTTTCAGTTCTTTCTCAATAAGTTCTATTTATGTAAATGTATTAATCTATTTAATTTATTAATTTATTTCTAAACTCTGCTTTTTGTTATACACCTTTATTATTGCTGTAATTTCCTAGATATATCTATTATTTTGTTATTCAAATTGATATGATATGATTGGATTTTAATGAATTTTTTTTAGTATAAATTCATTTGAGTACAAAATCACAAATAATTGTTAGTTTGAAAAGAAAGGAGATATTAAAATTCTTTGTTTTTAGATCTTTATATTTGTAGTGCTTGCTGATATTTATAATTTTAGAGAATTATGTGCTTAAGTATTGAACTGATACAGTAGTATCTCTTACTATTCAGATTGAATCAATAGGTAATTATTTATACATTTGGCATTTATTGGTTAAAATAATTATTAAGAATAAGTAGGAATTTTATGGATCAAATACACTTCTTAGTAAAAGTTATATTCAAATATGATATTATCTTTTATTAAAATAAATGTCTAATCTGATATTGCAATGAAATCAGTTTCGCTTATTTCAAGATTAAGATAATATTTGATATAGAAATCAGTAAATAAATTCGTAATCAATAAGCTGTTTTAATTATTTATAAGTATTGTGTCTCTCTTTGAATTAATGTATAATCTTTGAGGTTCGAAATTAATATTGTAAGAACACATATTGAAAAAGGATTCATCAATCAAATTATAGTGGTCACTTTATATTATATTTTGATAGAACTGGATTTACTTATCAAATACCAGATATAATGATGAATGATCAAATAGTACTTATTTAACAGATTTCTCAAGAACAAGTTGTTTTATAGTACTATTAGCAGTCTATAAAGAAACTGTTGATTAAGTCTCTAAAATTACAAAATACAGTATTTTATCTATCAACTATGATTAAAAGTTGTCTTCATTTAGATTTATCTTGATTTACATTATTGATTAAAGTGAACAAATAAATTAAGATTATATTTCGCATTTATTTATATGTAATTATAAACTATTTTAAAATTATTATAGTAAATAATAATAAATATTATCGATTTTTATAACATCTTAATAGATTATTGAATCTTTCAGTTAAATATTAAAAGGGTAATTTAAAATTTATTAAATTGAACAATCTGATATGCATACATAATTTTAATTTGGTCCTGAGATTCTAAATTACAATTCTTATTAATGAAAAGGAGATCCTATTGTAATTGATTTGTTCTCATGATCGGATATAAGTATTTCTTAATTTTCTGATATCGTTTGCAAAGTAATCGAAGTGTTGCATGAACCATGATTATCTTTTCCTTATATTACAAATTACTGATATGTATTTGTTATTTCATTATCATCTGTATTCAAAAGTAAGTATCCATTATTTAGTAGATAAAAATGCGAAAATTCGTTTGAAAGTGTAAGTAAATAATGTTATGAGGATAAATAAGTTATAATACCTTCACTGTTGATTCTTTAGAGTAAATATCCAGAATAAATGCTATAGCTTGAGAAGTACCCTGTGTTATGCAAAATGACATATTGTCCTGAGATATGAACCTTGCCTTTCTCATCCACATTAAAATCCAAAGAAATAGTTTGAACATAATGTTAATTTTGATATACTATGATTTTTTAAGTTTGAAGGCAAATCAAAAAGCCATTCTCTTCATCTATATCAAATGATATAATTTTATCTGCCTTAATTACTGTTGCTTGATTGTTTTCATATTTGAACAGACCCAAAGTTTGATCAAGAAAGTAAATTTCATCGTTTTTTAATATTTTGTACTGATTTATCTTTAGGGACACAGATTCTGTTTATAGAAATAACAAATGAACTGTTGAATTGTTTATCTATGATTCAAGATCTAATTTAGTTTAATCTTCATTCCACCTATAAATTGCTAGAACTGATTGAGATTAATTGCTTTCCAATTTGTAAAAATATTTTAAAGTATTAGTAATTTAAATAGATTTTACATTGAGAAAGTTTTCAAGTTCAATCTAATTTAATAATTCTCCTTTTTTATTATGGATGTAAACTAAGTTTTGGGTTTCCTTTTAGCATACGATAATAAAACTATCATCTTTGAAATAATCAAAATCAAAGCAATTCAAAGATAAATCTTGCTTTTCTAAATATAAAACTGTTCTAAATTATGGAGTATTTAGGTTAATTTATGGATTGGAATATGTAATATTTACAGAAATGAAGTTTTCTGCCATGTATGCAAATTAATTCATCCACTTTTTGTTGTTATTCAATAATGGTTTAAAACTAATGGGATATGTTTATTCAGGTAATTCTAGTTTATCATATTCATCAAATGGTTAGATTATGTCAAAATCTGTTTGTATTGTAGAATACACTATATTATTTCCAATAAACACTTGTGATAAATTTAATCTTATTGTTTCATTCTCAGTAATTACATAGAGGAGGTTTTCATTCATAGAAAAACATGCCCAAGAGATGAAAATCGGAAAAATTAAAATTTTTGTTAACATATTTTATTAAAAGAATATTCTAAATAAGCTTTAAGCTAGGCTTGTGTGTTAAATAAATCAAATTTGCTAATTCAATTTTCTCTATATCTATCTTTAAAAATAAAGTTCCTTCTAATGAATTTTTATACAACATATATTGGATAAAAATGTATTAATTTATTTTTTGTGTTTTTTTCTCAAGGTATCTGACTCAAAATGTAGAATTCGGATCTTTTAGTTCCAGTATCAATACAACTAGTTGATGGACCCAGGATTAAAAAGGTTCTTGATAAAAAATTCGAATCAAACACTGAATTATCGGCAATCGAACAATAATTACGACAACTTCTTAATCTGGAGTAAAATTCTAATTTACAAGTAGGCCTTAAAATGGAATACAATTTACAATTGGTGGATAAAGAAATCCCCATCACATAAAATTGAGTTAAATTGTAACTAGTTAAGTTCTATATATTAGTCGTCTTAAATGAAACAGACAAAAGAAATATTAATCTCAATTAAAGTCTAGTATTGATTTGGCTTCGGCGACAGCAGAAAAATAACAATGGAAATATATGTATAAATATTTCTATACATGAATAATCAAAAATTTTTTCTTCAAAACCTTGGATGCTATTTTTCAATCTTAAATATCAAATTGACCCCGTTACAGTCAGTCTCTATTTGAACAAGTTATTTTACATTCTCTCTTAAAACTAATGCAGTCCTTTTTCTAAGTACATCCTAGTACAATAATCATCCAGACCAAAGATCAAATTCTTTAATTTCAACAGTGTTGTCCTAATCATATTTAACGAGGAAAAATGCAAAAATTCAAAATGAGCATAATTATGATGTTTATAACTATATTATTATCAATTAATTTGCTTTCTTTAATTGATTTTATTTTATGACTAAATGAAAAGAAATAATGAAATAATTATTAAAATTATTACAAAATAAGATATAATTTATTGATATTTAAGTTCACCAGGTTGATAAAATCTAAAGTGGAATTAGTCAATGATGATTTAATGCTTATTAAGCTTTAAATATTTGATCAGATTTGGTAAAAATTTTTTTATCAAATCTTTACAGCCATTTGGAATTCAGGAATATCTAATCTATTTTTATCATACTTAACAGCTTTTAAGATCTCTGACTCAGATGTTCCATTGAAAGGAGGAGTATCAGTCAATAAAATATGCAAAATCACCTCAGCTGGCCAAAAATCACAAAGTTCATCATACTTTCCATTTAAAACTTCTGAGAGTTATATAATAAGGCTAATTTAAAAAGCGTAACCATACTATTTATGCCTTTGACTTTATCTTTATCTTCCAATCAAATGTTTTGTATTGATTATCATTAAAAAATACTTATGTTTCTTTACCTATCAATTTTATTGTGTAATTGGGTTTTATCTAGGAATAAAAAATGTTCTAGTTTAATGTCTCAATAATATATCTCCTGAGCATGGCAGTTATGAATGGCTATAATGATTTATAAAAATATTTATTCTGCATCTTTTCCCTGAATTTATCTTTCTCAACCTACTTGTTAAGCAAGTTTCCTCCAATACAAAGACTTAACAATAATAAATGATACATATCTACTCCATAATAATATAAACGTTTTTGTATCTTCAAAACTTTAATCAATTTATTTAAATTAGGATGATCCTACACTGAATCTAAACTCATTATTAATTTTGCATTAGTTAGATCTAAAATTAATTTGTTGGGAATAACCTTGACTAACTTTTTTAATTCTAATGCATTGGATCCTTTACTCAATTTCTAAAGTTGAATGTTATTGCTATACATTCTAATCAGATTCATAAACATCCTGAAATTTGTCTGTATAAGATTTTACTAACAATTATTTATCAACCAGCTACTTGTTACCAATAAATATTAATACTATATTAAAGATATTTAACTAATAATAATGTACTAAAATCATTTATTAGTCATCTATATGAAGATTTAATGTTAAAAAATAAAATTATTAAAATTCCTATTGATTTATAATTAGATTTATAAATACTTCCAATTAAACTATTTGGTCTGAAAATTATATTTATATTATATATAAACATACAATAAAATAAACATAGGTTAATATAAAAGATTAGACTTTCGTTCTAAGTATGGGGTTGAGTTTAAAATTAAAACTTAAGATTAAATGTATATGATTGTTTTCAAGTAGCACACAAGTATTAGGAATAAATATTGAGGATACTCAAATTATAATATCAGTTTTAATTAGAAAAAATACATAGTGTCGAAAGATTAAAGAATGAAATTAATAAGTTTTTGATATTATGTTTCATAATTACTCAAATCAACGAGTAAAATAAAATCATTTTTCTCAGTCTTGAACTTGAACCATGACTATAGTATCGTAATTTTGTAGAACATCCTTGATTAATCTTTCATCAAAATTATAATAATTATTTTATTTCCCATCAATAATAAATGAAAAATTCTTTAGATCGGGTGATATTTCCTTTTTTAAATCTAATAAGGTTTAATTTCTATTAATTTCAATATCCCTAACTTAGTTATTTTAAAAATTATCAATTATTTTTATTGTCCAAACTTCACGATCTAATCTAATTTGAAGGTTAATTTTTGGTTCGTTAAAGAGTTCTCCGATTGACAAATCTTTATTTTTCTGATAATCTATCTATACCCTTTACTAATTATTAGATATTTAAAATAGATTGTAAGTATCAAATTGTTCTTTTAAAACTTATGTTAGAAATATTTCAACTAATTCTATTAAATCTTTTAACAAATCATGTTCTTCAAAAAAGCTTATAAAGAATTTGCCTCCCGGATTGGCGACTGAAAATTCATAAATTTTGCTTTCAGGTAGAACATTTACTTAATATAATTAATTGGAATCAATTATTTCATTTTCATCTATGAAAATTTGATCATTAACTTCTATGGAAAGTAAATGAGGCTTTACTCTGAGTTTTTAACTAATGATATTTTTTAAATCTTTTAATTTGATGTTTTAAGATGAGAGCTCTGCTTCAAACTGTGTTTTTCTCAATCCGCTTTAATAATAAACTTTTGGCATTTATTATTAAATAATAAATTATTATAGTTTTATAAGGGGATTTGAACTTGAATATATTAAAAATATCCAATAGAATTAAATTAACTTAATATTGATCACATTCTTAAGTCACTCTTTACCCTGGCCTTTTATATTTACTTCTTTCCCCAATAATGCTAAGATTATGTATAATGTTTATAAAATTGTAGAGATCTAAAATAAAAACAATTCTTCCCATTTCCTATAAGTATAAATGATATTTGTCATGTAAACTATTCAATGGAGATTATTCTTAAGTAAAACTTTACGGTTTTCTTTATTTGAAGTAGGTCTCACTTTGGAAATTGTAGAACTTTATATTCCTGAGAAGTAACTTGTTTATAGTAATAGAATAAGAAGTATAGTTCTTTTATCACTTAATTTACCAAAATTATCTGAATTTCAATAATACTTTACTAATTTTGTTTGATTCTAAGTTTGATCTTATAGAACAAGCCGATAATCATTTTTTTATGTTTGATAAATAAATGATTTTATAACACCAAATCTAACTTCTTCGTAGTTAAGAAGGTTATCAGATAGAATTCTGATCATTTATGGGAAATTTAACCAGATTTCTCAAACTATTCTTGTTATAATCTAATACTTCCACATTATGATTTACGATTGAAAATAGTAATGGTTCATTTTTAGCATTCAAAATTCATTGGAATTAAATGACATCCTGCTCTTATTAGATAAAAATAATTTATTACTCTTGTAGAAATACTTATTATAATATTTATATTTTTCATTTCTAAATATAAATACAGATATTTATTAATTTGTAGGATTAGATTATTAATAATAATAATGAATATTAAAATAGTATATAACACCAAAACCCACAAAATAGCCCCAAAACTTCAAACTCTAGAAGAAATCAAAAAAGCAATATTAACCCTCTATCCAAAACAATTAGCTGACGGATTTGAACTATATGTAACATTGCATCCCTGTAATTTTTTAAAATATTTAATAGAAATGGATCCTTTTAAAATTTTAGATGATTCATGTTTTTTAAGAATTCAAGAGTTATATCATCAATTGAACTGGAAGTCAATAAAATTTTTAGTTAAGGATTTAATAAGTCCGAATCTAACAAATGAGGATCTATAGATACTAAATTAGAGTGTGATTGTTCAATCAACTGTATAATTATCTACATTCAATAATCTCTTGTAATAAAAACCACAACCTAAACAAGAAGTAATCGAAACTAAGAAATAAATCATGATAGCTGATGAGAAAAAACCTGAAATCTTTTTAGCTGAATAGTATTTTCTATTCTATTTTAAAAATTAGAATTATCAAAGAATTACAGAAATAAGAATTTTAAGAGTTGGATTACGAATCAGAGGAATTTAAATAATTTATTATAGATTAAATTGATGAAAGATTAAAACATTATGGAATAATTGAGAACTAGAATAAACCCAAAATACCAGAATATTAAATGTCATTATAAACTAGAAACCTTAAAATAACCTAATTTGTAAATCAACAATTTTAGTTCTAAGTTTAAATAATGAATACTGGCAATGCCATTTGGAGAAAAAAGTTTGTAGAACTTGTAGGAGTTAGCGGGTACTATAAAAATATTTTAGTTGATGTAAATCATTAAACTATTTATAGTTATAATAAGATACTGCTCCAGGACAAATAGCTACATTTAGTTGGAATGCTTTTATGCCTTCATATCCAATTTAGAATATGCAAAATGAGTTTTAAGTAATGTTATACAGATTATCAGAATAGTTGGCTTATATTGAGGGAAATTAACGAGGGTTCTTTGGTGAGAAAATATAAATCGAATTCACATCCGTATAAAATGCTGCGTATTAGCCATTTGTGAAGAATATTGATTAGAATAAGGTATAGTAGCTGATGGAAAATGCAGAAATTCCAAGAGAGAAAGCTATTGAATTTATTCAGTTTTATGGAGCGGATTCTTAAATAGAGGAAATTATTATGGCTTATTTTGACTAACCTAAATGAAGTTTAAGTTTACATTTTAAATATCAATATATCTAAATTATTTTTTAGTTTAGTTTCAAAAATTATAATTATATAAATAACTCATAAAATCTGGTAAATCATATCTAATATTTTCAAACAAGTTTTTCAAATCATCTATTGACATACATAGGATTATTTGATTATTTTCTAAATTCTTACTTTATTATTGAAGGGATATGAATTTCTATTTAATTAAATTATCTAAAGCTTTATTCAACACTAATGGTGTAAATTCACTTGCAGTTTTGTGATGTTGTAATTTGTATGTTTACATGGCCTTTTTGGAATGCTAGATTATGTCATCAAACATGATTTGTGGCTTTTGATGCATGATCAAATTATAGAAGGAAAATAAAATTACATACTCTGGTTAAGAGAGGACTAAAATAATAAAATTGAACAAAAGTTATACGTTTTCCATTTTCCAATTTAACATTCGGATATATCCATTTCAAACTTTATTCCATCAACTCTTAGAGACTGATTGGTTCTGCTGTAACATTCCTCTCGAATTTAAAGGAATCAACCTATTTTTTATCTGGCCTATTGAAACGTGATCCGGCCAAAAAAAAGGAGGATCGAAACAAATAGATCAATTTACTGATTGAAACTTATAGGGATTGCAATTTGGCAAAGTATTCTTCAAAGGATTTTGATAAAATGTAGTTTTCGTATGTGTTGATGACTTAATTCCTATCTATTTATTCTAGTCTAGTTAATAGAACCTTCTGTACAAATTAGAAATCAAGTTCCATAAAGAAATAAGGAATATTTTGAAATCTGCTTTTAACTCTTTTTTCTAGTTTTTCTTAAAATAATAAATCTGAAGTGATTCCTACAAAGATGATTGGATATTTGGATTCTCTTATCCATTCAAGTATTGAATATAAAAAGAATTGTTTTTTGACAGTTGCTAAGATTTCCACTCTTTCAATTACAAGCACAATACCATGAAAAACATTTTCATATTGTTTGAAATGTTTCATCAATTCATCAACAGAGAGCTTGTTAATTTTGGATTTGATTTGTGCTGTTTACAATAATTGATTGTTGATGGCAGATAGAATGTTGCCCTCAGATTTATGAAGCTAAGACGATTTAAATTTTACATACATAGGCATTGACAAATATTTTTATGATTTTTTTAGATTTCATCTACAAATCCTATTCACAATTATCTAAAGCCTTTCTGATTGCAGATTTTCGACCAAAGCCTTCTTAGCCATAAAGCAGAATGGTATTATTGGTTTTGCTCTTCAATGAATCTTTTAGGCGATCAGTCAGATCTTTGATTTTGTCAGATTCATCAATGAGGACATTGTTCATAACATCTTCAGAGAAGTATTAAGAAAATTAGGCATAAGAATCTATTTGTCTATTGAATTCAGCTCTTATTACCTGTTAAATCCTGACTCATATGTTGAGTCAACAAGAAGTTTTGCATATTTTAAAAAATAATTATTCAAATCAACTCAATATTAATCATTACTCTAGTTCTTCTTTGACCATGTTTACAATTTATTAAATTCCCATTTCCGGATTCTTCTACATGTAATCATCAACTTTGTTTCTGATTTCTTTTTTGGAGGCATTTTAGAAGAGACTCTTTTAGATCATATCCACACACTTTTAAGCCTTCCTTTCTCTACTCAAATCCTTGATTTTGAATTCAGTGACACACTTAGAACCAATCCTCCTCTCTTATTCATTTTCGTCTTTGTAAAACATAACCCAAGTGAAAGTGTATATTCCAGCATTCTAAATACTTAATGACAAAAAGTACTATAGGCGATTAAAATTAAAGACTCAAACTTCGTTTCTCACCAGGATTCAATGAAGGAAGATATTGAATGTTTTGCGGATAATGTCCAACCTACTTAATATAAACATTATCAGGCCAGCGTTTCAATCCATTGTTAATAATAAAGATGTCTATTTTTGCATATGTATCAGCATTGAATTCTTAGGATTTCTCTTCTCGTTTTTCATACTTGACTGAGAAATCTGGAGGAGGATGGCCAGCTATAATAGATGACCTAATATATGAGCTTCCTGGATGCATGAGTTGTGATTTAGGTATCTATTGTTAGACTTCAGATTGGCGATGAATGTTGGTTGATTTATTCATAATATTCTGTTTATAAAATTGCGATTGCACTGGAGTGTTGGTTTGTCTGATAGCTGAGACTTATTGATTCTGTTAGATTTGTAACTATTGTTATTGAGAAGGTTGGATAGCAATGATTGATTTTATTGGTTTGCTCAATTTGCTGAATTGGTCCAAGAATAAATCAACGTCTTAAATATTTCTCTTGAACTACTTTTTGCAACTATATATAACTTACTATATTACAATGCCTGGAAGTCCTCTTTGTCGATCAATTCATGAAGACATTCCTTAACCAGTTGATTGAATTCCTCAGGTTTCACTTGTTTCTTCTCTTGACAAATCACACACCCTGACTAATCATTCTCGCAACAAACATTGTTGACAAATAGTTATTACATGAAGAAATCAAAACAATTTTTATCCTTCTAATTGTCTTCTACTAAAAATAACTCTCGCACATCTCCGCTATTGACCATATCCATATATTATTTCTCACTTTCAATATACACCTCTGTGTCCTTCTCCTTATAACTACACAATCATCTATACGATATTCATTACTATAATCGGAATTTCCCCAATTTAAACACCTGGCTCAAGTAATCCTTCAACACATACAGCTTATCGTATTCTTTGGACTCAATAACACAAGATTTCTAACCGTGATTCAATTTAATTTATTGCGAAGCCATTGTATATAAATATATTTATTCTTATAATCAAGACTTTAAATACGAGATATCTAAATCCTGAAACATTTTTAGTCTTAAATTATTTACGTCCACCTCAAAAAATAATTCACTTTACAAATTTTTCAGGAATCTATTCTAACAAACCCAGAATCTAATGGATTATTTAGATACTTGACTCAAACCTATCAAAAATTCAACGTGACTTTCGGTTTTTACAATTACTATTTGAATTTACTCTCTCCTACTTATCTACGCAGCCATATTTATAATTTATAACCAAAAACTTATGAACTTACTCTTGTATCCATTTATCTCTAAATCTACACAGCTAACTATTTAGATGTTACAGAGTCTACATTTTTGATCAATCACTTTGACAATCTGTAGAAGAAGAGTTCTTGGAGAAAATCTTTTGATTGTCTAATCATCCTAATAAAGAAGACATAGGTAATTGATGTTAAGATTTACAATTTTGGTGAATGAATTTTTGCAATTGAAGATTTTCTTTAGATTTTTCATGTAATTGAAAAGATATAATTGAAAAGCCTACTTTTGCTTATAAATAAGTTGATTATTATTTTTGGATTGCGAGATGATGCTTATAATGTAAATGTGAGCATCGCTAAAGATCTCTGTGTATTCGATAAATAAGACGCCCTTTTTCTTGTTCAGACAACTCATTTCGAATCCCTAAATCAAAGGCGCTCTGCTTTTGGCCCTTTTCAATATGTAAGACTCAAGAGTCTAATTTTGATAGGAGTATTCTCTTAATAGATTTCTTAGATTGCATCCATCACATAATTCCTACTTATAGATTGGTATTTCTTCTTTTCTGTGAATCTTTTTGAGGAGAATTTGAGTATGATCGTATTCAAAATAAAAAAACGGCTTTCTGATCATGCTGGGCAAATAGTCATCTTATATTAAATTAATATATACCCCAATGATTGTTTTTGAGAGTTAACAAAAACTGTTGTCTTCTATTTTGATCACTCCTAAATTGAACAAGGGCCAAAAAAAATGACATTGAAATTGTGGTAAAAATGGTTAGATAGTCAATTTCCTCCAAGTATATCAAGAGTGTTATTCTTGTAATGGCAATGATGAATATTTGAGTAACTGACAGGACGAAATCCGATCTTTGTAGGAGTATCATTTAACTAGCCATAAGATTGGCACCGAAAATGAATATTTTTTGCTCCTTCGAATTTTTTAATAGTTAAAATTGCATCATGCATCCAACTATGTTTAAAACACAAAAGTAATAATTGAAGTTGCTGTCCTTGTAACAATAGATTACATAGAGTATAACAAGGAGACAACTCAAAAGAAGCTCTAATTACATGACAAATTGATTTTTGATTTCGATGATGTTCTGAATATACGACATCATGTTCATAATAAGATAACTAAACAGTATTGCATAAAAGACTCTTTTCCGCATCAGAATCCTGGTAGCTTGGTATTGGATCTCAAGATCACTATGATAGAATGTGAGTGTGAATTTATTCATAAAGCTAAAATTTATTAATGTTATTCACCTTTAAATGACAATTTTAATGATAACTAGGAAATATACTAGGAAATTTCAATAAGTATTATTTATAATTTATATAAAACTATGGATGGGGGCGGTTCTACGTTCGATCTCACTGCGCCAGTGTAAATGATGCAGCCAAAAATAAACGTTTAGAAATAGCAAGAATAAACAATCAATAAGGGATAGAAAGATGTAAGAAGCATTGAATAAATCAGTTACAGCCATAAAAGACTTAAGCTTCAACCTCGAAGCTTCCCTAATTAAACAATAATCAGAATGCTTCGAAAAGCGTGAATCAGAAGGCTATGCAATCTGGACATCAACATTCTCCAAAGTCGCTTTAGAAAGTAAAAAAGATTGAATTGTTTCGAGATGCTTTGTAATAGGCAACCACGAAATTAATACGTATTGATGCATTTCATCCTTAGCTCCTGGAAAGAAGGACAAGGAAAAAGCACAGAAACCCAAGCCTTTGCAGGAATCTCAATAGTAGCAGATTGAAGAGATAAAAAAAGAATACGAGGATTTGGTGTAAAATCATTATAAAGATTTATATGCTCACATTGGGAATGAACAACAAAAAAGTTTGCATGATTTATATAATAAAAGAATCTTCACGGCATTACAAGATTTAGAATCAAGGCCAAAAATATAGAGCGCCTTGGAAAGAAAAGAGGAACAAATGAACAAATAGCGATTGTATAAGGATAGATTGTTGTATGAAATCAAGCAGATGATAATTAAGAGTCGAAGGATGGATGAATTATTGAACGAATTAACAATTCAAAATGATGACACTGAAGTCAAGGAATCAATTGAGGAATTGCTACAGAAGGAACAGATGCAAGAGGAGAAGATGGCCAAACAGGCATACGAAATAGCTAAACTTAGAGATATGTATGGAAAACGAAGTAATTAGAATAATTAAATCAAGGAAAATTACTATTGGAAGTCCAAAAACAATGTTAGATTACCTATGATGGATTGAAAATCAAATACCAATAATATGAGGCATCATCATAGAGTATGATGAGTCGTAAGAAGCAATTGGAATCGTTGTCAAAGATAGTGGCCAAATATAGGAGTGAATTTCAAAATTAATAGAACTTTTTTGGAGCAAGTCTCAAAAGGGGATTTGATCCCATGCTTGAGGAGATCTTGGAAGATGAATTATCGAAATGTGGTGATTTGTAAGCTTTGGAAATTGTTTAATAAGGAGAGAAGAAGATCATTGCTATCAAAGAAGAGAACGAAAAGAAGAAGAAGGGAGAATAAAAGGATAAAGCTAAATTGGCAATTGAGAATGCCACTCAAAATATCAACAAATAAAAAAATGATATTCAATAGGAATTAGAAAAGAAAGTAAGTATATGTGTAATTTAGAAATAAATGTTTCAAAAATTGAGAGTGGTCACCAGCATTGCGAATTAAGAAGATATGCAGAAGTACAAACTCAATATGGATTTAGATTAGTAGGAGTTGAAAAACATTTAAGAATATGTAGGCAAGGAAATTGAAAGGTATGAAAGACAAAATGAGGAATTGAAGGCTGAAATCAAGAAGTTGAAATATGAATAAGAGAACTCTATTCTAGATGCTCAAATCAATTTGGATGAATAAGAAAGAGAAGTCACCAGACAATAGGATTTACTCTAAGAAAAGGAAAAGTAAGTTAAAAAAGTTGAAAAGTCTATTGATGAAGTCACGATGTCATTGTCCAGAATCATGTATCAATTAAGTGGGAAAGGAGTCAAACCCAAGAATATCGAGATTAAGAGGCATGCCTTAGTTGCCACTGCCTCTACTATACAGTTGAGATTAGAAAGAATGCTCACTGTCCTATCTAAGACTTAGGAATTTCTCAATGAAGAATCCATCAATACAAACCCCAGATACAGTAAAGTTGAAGACTTTATCTGTCTCAATCCTAAGGTAATCTTGGTCTCTATTTCAGAGTTACATCTCCCAAGAAATCAATGACAATCTAGAAACTAACATCAAGTTTGTATATAAGGAAGAGGACAGCTCGGATGAGGATTGCAAAGACATGGATGAAGTCAGACAATAAGTCAAATCCAGAGCATAAGAAGACAAGCCTTCAGTGGTGGTCCCGCCCAAAAAGGATAAAAAACCTAAGTGATATATATATATTATATAATTTAATTATTCTTATAAAATAAATCATGGAAATAAAGGAAACATTTAGNAGCTAAACTTAGAGATATGTATGGAAAACGAAGTAATTAGAATAATTAAATCAAGGAAAATTACTATTGGAAGTCCAAAAACAATGTTAGATTACCTATGATGGATTGAAAATCAAATACCAATAATATGAGGCATCATCATAGAGTATGATGAGTCGTAAGAAGCAATTGGAATCGTTGTCAAAGATAGTGGCCAAATATAGGAGTGAATTTCAAAATTAATAGAACTTTTTTGGAGCAAGTCTCAAAAGGGGATTTGATCCCATGCTTGAGGAGATCTTGGAAGATGAATTATCGAAATGTGGTGATTTGTAAGCTTTGGAAATTGTTTAATAAGGAGAGAAGAAGATCATTGCTATCAAAGAAGAGAACGAAAAGAAGAAGAAGGGAGAATAAAAGGATAAAGCTAAATTGGCAATTGAGAATGCCACTCAAAATATCAACAAATAAAAAAATGATATTCAATAGGAATTAGAAAAGAAAGTAAGTATATGTGTAATTTAGAAATAAATGTTTCAAAAATTGAGAGTGGTCACCAGCATTGCGAATTAAGAAGATATGCAGAAGTACAAACTCAATATGGATTTAGATTAGTAGGAGTTGAAAAACATTTAAGAATATGTAGGCAAGGAAATTGAAAGGTATGAAAGACAAAATGAGGAATTGAAGGCTGAAATCAAGAAGTTGAAATATGAATAAGAGAACTCTATTCTAGATGCTCAAATCAATTTGGATGAATAAGAAAGAGAAGTCACCAGACAATAGGATTTACTCTAAGAAAAGGAAAAGTAAGTTAAAAAAGTTGAAAAGTCTATTGATGAAGTCACGATGTCATTGTCCAGAATCATGTATCAATTAAGTGGGAAAGGAGTCAAACCCAAGAATATCGAGATTAAGAGGCATGCCTTAGTTGCCACTGCCTCTACTATACAGTTGAGATTAGAAAGAATGCTCACTGTCCTATCTAAGACTTAGGAATTTCTCAATGAAGAATCCATCAATACAAACCCCAGATACAGTAAAGTTGAAGACTTTATCTGTCTCAATCCTAAGGTAATCTTGGTCTCTATTTCAGAGTTACATCTCCCAAGAAATCAATGACAATCTAGAAACTAACATCAAGTTTGTATATAAGGAAGAGGACAGCTCGGATGAGGATTGCAAAGACATGGATGAAGTCAGACAATAAGTCAAATCCAGAGCATAAGAAGACAAGCCTTCAGTGGTGGTCCCGCCCAAAAAGGATAAAAAACCTAAGTGATATATATATATTATATAATTTAATTATTCTTATAAAATAAATCATGGAAATAAAGGAAACATTTAGTAACTAACTACACCATGGAATTTCAATAATAACAATTCGATGTCGAATTTGTTCACGGCAAACGATATCTCAATAGCATTGAATACTATATTAAATGGGTAGGCTATTCCAAAGCAGAATCCACTTGGGAACCAGAGACTGCCTTTGAAGGAATTTCCAATTAATTGATAACTAGATTTGAAAGGTGCCAAAATTATAAAAATTATCATACCAAAATTTATAAAGCAAATAGCCACATCAAAATTAGAGTCCATATTATGAACAAAGGATGCTAAGTCTATAAGAGATACACATCCGAAAACAAATATGCTCTATTAGGTCAAACCAACAAAAATGAACTGAATGGATAGAGTGTTAAATTCATATAAGAGCCTAATAATAATTACAAAAATTACGAAAGTAACTCAATTCAATCACACTTTATAGATAGAAATGATGATAAAGAAGATTACGACTTCTATATGAGAAGAGGCAGAGGCAGACCAAGGAAAAGTGAAACTGATAGAGAATTCCTTTCTTATAAAAATGACTATAAAATAGAGGCACAAAAATATTAGCAGAAACAATATCCTATGTAAACTACAGAATGCAGCTTTAAGTATGGCCATTATAAAACTGAAAAAGAGTTCATTTAGGAGATGCTTATTGTTATTAAAAAGAAAGAGTAAAAGAAAAGAAGAGACGAAGAAGTCATTATTTATAAACCACAGGCTTCCTTACCTCCTGGTTATAAATGTCAATACACAGATTTACCAAAGTTTAATCTTCTCAATCAGAAATATTATGATAAAAATTCCAAGTGCTAAGTAAGTGATGGCAAAATTCCACTAGAATGCATTGTTTCTCATCATCTTATGCAAAACAAGCTACTTGTATTTAAATGCAGAGACAATGATGAATAAGTTTGCTATTTTGATTTTGATACTCTAAAATCTTATTATCCTACCCTACTCCTTGATTATTTATCCATATCCTCCATCTGGAAAAAATGAATTCAATTATTTATAATATTTTACATTTATTTGACTTGATCGCTCCTTATTTATAAAATGGGTTGTAAAGAATCAAAATAGAATTAAATAATTTCTAGCCTCTAACTAAATGAACCCACAAATTCACTTATACTACTTACTTAAGGAGATGAACGCAATTCAACGAACACCCATTAAGATTAAAGAAAGTCAAGTAATTAGTTAATAATTTCTTAAAATACCATTCTAAAGAGAAGAACCTAATCCTAGAAATGATAAATACTTTCATATTATCTATCATAAGTTAATTTTATTTGAATTCTGTGAAAAATAAAATGGAGTTAAATAATTGAATCAAAAAATGAAACTTATAGATAATACTTATCATCATTATTGGTACGCCTATGCACAATTCTTGATGATTCCAAATGGCTTCTATCATTTCTAAAATTATTGTTAAAGCATCCTACCTCATAAGTACTTCTATTTTTAGAATTCTAGTGAGATACTTCTATTAATTGGTTTGACTTCTCAGAATTTCAGGTAGTTTTTTCTGATCACTAAGATTGCATTTGAAAAGTTTAGTAAGTTTGTTTATTTAATTCATTTTTTATTCTAATTTTGGTTCCCTTTAATGTAATCAAATTATTACTTGAATTTTTTGTATGATAGTATATACAAACTCTGCTTAGATATTTCTATGGTTTTAAATTAAGAACTTTATATTCTTCTACATTTATTTAGAAAATTAACGCCAATAATCACTATAAAAATGTCTTGACCAACATGACAATGGTATAGAATTAAGTTAGTTCTATTAGCAAAAAGTTTGGTAATGTATTTTTAATGCATATACTCCTCAATTTAGTTTATATTCAAAGGCTCAATCGATGTTTAGGAACAACAATAATTATGAAGTTTTCTCCACTCTTTCAATTCCTTATTTAATTAATTAATATACTTTGTCTGTTAAATTATGGAACCATATGAATAATTTAAAACTTTAGGATAAAGTGTCAATGAATTTTGGGTTAAGTCAATAATTTTTTAATTTATCCCCATATATTATATTCGCCATTATGATTGTGTGAGTTGAAAGTCAACGGTGGCATAAAACATATCGGGATTATTCCTTATTGGCTTACATACTCTAATTATCTAAATAATTAGATGATATTTTGCACTTTAATTCAAATAAAACAGTTAAGAATATCTAAATAAATCAATTATTTATGTCCTTTGTAATGCCAGTCAGATTTTAATATTGGATAAATGTCTAGGGCAAATTCATTCTAGTTATTTCCTCTGCCTTATGATTAGATATTATCTAAAGTTTGCTAGACATATAATCCTGATGATTTTCCTGGATAAAGTTGGATGGAAGAATATACATTTCTTTTAACCCTTGTACATTAATTACACTATCGATCATCACTTCTAAAAAAATAAGTTAATTATAGTTTTTAAAGCTGAATTTATCAAATTTATCTTTTTCGTTATAATTGTAAAAAAGAGCTTTTGAAGTATCCATTTATTTGATAATAGATTGTTAATTTTTTCTTGATTCAATTATTGACTTTAAGAATTTCTATGAATTAAGAAGATTTACTCAATTCTCAATTTGAATTTCATTTCAACCATCTAAAATGGCAATCTCAAAATGTTTTATTTTTACTTAATTTTATATTTTGCATCTAAGTATTTATTTTACTTAAAATAAAATAATTTCTAATTAATTCTTACATCATCTTATGTCATTAAGATATGCTTGATATTAAAATTAACTCTGATGACTTGTTGTAGAGTTCATTCTTGACAGATTTCAAAATCTTGAGATTAAATTTACTATTAACTTTTATATCACGAATACTCAATATTACTCATGATTTGGAATAATTGATATCATAATCCGTTTATTACTTTTGTTATTAAATCTAATTAAATGATCTAGAATTGAGGAATAACAATTTTAAAAAATCTAAATTTAGCTATAATAAATAATTTACATCTATCAAATAACTATCTGATTCAGACTCGTAAGAAAAAGTTTCGTTAACTAATGAAGTTGCAAATACAACTAATGACTTTAATTTATAAGATAATAAAAGATAAATCTTAAATTTAGCATCTCGGAACTTAATAAACTCAAAAATAAAGTTTAATCAAAACTATAGTATTAATTGAATTCTGGTGGGATTTTATATAATTGATGGATTAAAATTGTTCGAATGCATTTGTTTATCATTGTTTTTCTTCTTAATAAATTTAATTATCTTGCAAAGGATATACGAATAACTTATAATAATTAATTTTATTAAATTGATATCAATCCCTTCTACTTTTGAATTTAGAATAATTTTGTTCAACATCGCTCATAGTTTTATTTGAATAATTTAAATAAAATCAACATACTCTAACTCCTAAATGTAAAATTTATAATATCTAATCTTTAAATTATTTCAAAATTAATGGATTCCAAAATAGGGAAGACGTTTAAATTAACAAAAAAATTAGGAAGTGGAGCCTTTGGAGAAATATTTCACGGGATAAATGTATGCAAATTAGAGTCAATGTTAGCTTAAAAATAATATCGAAGTAGCTATTAAATTAGAGCCTATAAGTGCCAAGCATCCTCAATTATACTATGAGGCAAAACTCTATTAACATCTTAGTTAGGATAATGCTTCTGTAGAAAAGGGGATTCCCCAAGTCTATTATTGCTCGACTGAAGGAGATTACAATATAATGGTAATGGATTTATTGGGACCATCTCTTGAGGAGTTGCTCACACAATGTTAACGAAAGTTCTCATTGAAAACTGTGCTTATGCTGGTTGAGTAGATGATCACTAGAGTAGAATTCATTCACTCCAAGGATTTTCTGCATAGAGATATAAAACCGGATAATTTCTTGATGGGGTTAGGGAAAAGAGCATAGATACTGTTTATGATTGACTTTGGGTTGGCAAAGAGATTCATCACAAGAGATGGGTCTCATATTCCTTATAGGGAGAAGAAGAATTTGACAGGCACTGCAAGGTATGCATCAATTAACACTCATCTTGGATTAGAACAAAGTAGAAGGGATGATTTGGAAAGCATTGGATATGTTTTAATATATTTTCTGAAAGGGACATTGCCTTGGCAAAACCTAAAAAATAACAACAAGAAGGACAAATATGAAAGAATCATGGAATCCAAAATAGCCACGAGCATTGAATTACTATGTGCAGGAACACCAATGGAATTCTAATAATATCTCAAATATTGTAGAAATTTATAATTTACAGAGAAACCCGATTATGATTATTGTAGACAACTCTTTCGAGATTTATTCTAAAAGCAACGATTTGTAATGGACTATCAATATGATTGGACTTAGAAAAGAATAGAACAAACCAATTCATAACAATAGACAATCTAGTAATGACAATAGTGAGTATATAATAATATTTATATTACAATTTGTAATTAAATGGCAAGCTTAACTTAGATGACAGGGTTTTTTACGAAACAAAGAAAAAACAACAAGACCTTCAAAATTTCGTATTTCTTTGTTGACTCTTATGGCACAATGTATTACCTATCAAATCTTGCACAATTAAACTATTATATCAAAAATAGTAATAGTGAATTAGATGTATGACATGAATTTACTTAGATAATCTCTAAATTAGAGAGTTCAAATGCCATATCCAAAATGTCTATATAAAATTGTAGAATCTCTGGAATCAAAACCTTGTAGGCTTATGACAATGTCCCATTTTATCATCGATAGCATTTTGAACTTTAGATTTCATAAAAAAATGTTATCAAAGTGCTTCAAGTGTATTCAACAATTGAGGATGACATTGAAATATTATAGGAAGTGATCAAGTAAGGATCCCAAAAACAGAGACCAATTTAATAAATGCAATACAATTTAGAAATTGAAAAGAAAAATGCATTTATTGAGGAAATTTTGCAGTTGCTCAAAAAGTATGAAGGAGAAGTTATCAATGTCAATGCCAATGAAATATAATAAGATAGCAAATTATATTACACAGGTCAAATAGTAGATGGAAAGCCAGAAGGATAAGGAACATTATTTTATAATTTGGAAGGCATTCATTATAAGGGTAGCTTTAAAAATGGCAAGAAACATGGTGTAGGTTACATAGCAAACAGTAATTTAGACCAAATAGATTGCGAATTCGAAGATGATATTTTAACTGGTATTTGATAGTTATTATTTTTTTAAATATAATTTAAATCAAATTGTAGTCTCACTCTTATTAAGTTTGGTTCTGCGACATCATGACAAGATTTGCCATTCCAGCATTCATTAGATTGATAGATAATTTAGCCTTCTCTTTTCTGACTAATTTCAGTGATTAGTTTAATCTTTCAATCTCCTCCTCTTTATTCATTAAATCTGACTTCAAAATCTCATTTTCTCTAACCCTTTATCTCAAAGCTTCTTAAAGATCTTAAAGAGAAGCTTAGCTTCCTTATGTTTGTGCTAATTGTTATGACATCATCTAATTTTTTATTTTCAAGGTTTCGATTTGGTTCTCTTTTTCTGTTATTGTCACACATTTGCTATCCAATTCCAAAACCAATTGCTTGTATTCAAATGTTTCTTTGACATTACACTAAAGAAGAATAACAATATATGTTACTTTTAACTATTATTAAGGGAGTTGATTTTATTTGTTTCTCTCTGATTGTTCAACCACCGTCAATTTATTCTATGTTTCTTTGAGGATTTTCTATTACAATAAGTCATTTTAGAGCAATTGTGTAATTTTTAACTCAAGATCTTAGATAGTTTATTTATATGTAGTAATCTAAGTGAAATAAGCATTAATTTCTTTTTCCTTTTATTCCAAAATAGTATTAATTTATTATGAAAGTTCATTGTTTTTTTCTTAGGTTTTCTAATTAATAAAAAGAATTTCATTCATTTTTTCTACCAATTGATTTAGTTCTTCCTTTTTTTATTCTAATTGATGCTCCAACACTTATACTGCTTATTACGTACTTGGATCAACTGATAGTTTAGTTGACTTAAGGAGAGTCACTTCATCATTTAACTATAAGTTTTATTCCAAGAATAATTTATTTTATTCAACTAGGTTATTATTCTCATTTGAAAGCTCTTAAGCCTTATTTTCCAATAGATACACTTAAGTGTTGTATTATTAAACTAAGAGTTCTTATTCTTTCATCAGCACTTCTATCATGGTTTCATAATTCTTTTTTGGAGGAAGAGTTTTAATTAATTATTAGCTTTGAGCAACACTCTTGCTACAAACTTTAAAAGGTTCTATACAACTAGAAGAAGCAACTTGTTATAACTGTTAAGATTTGGCAGGATTATTTTAATTAAGAACAACAACACTCTATAATGTGGAAGGTATAGGGGAGACATGACTTGTAATAGGACTATCGGAGGATTTGATGTCTCTAAGCGAATCTAATTTAGCCATTAAACTTGTGGCATCTCTAATTCAGTATTTTATTGATTACTTACTTTGTGCACGGATAGGATTCCTCCTGATTCTGCTTAAAAATTGGAGTCTCTCTTGTTGGCAATACGCGGTTTACTTACTTAAGAGGAATTAATGGGATGTTTTATTAAACTGATTTCTAGACTAGCTGAGTTGGATGCTGTTGAATGAGCACATTAGGTTCTATTAGGTATTTTACTCTTTCTTACATTAGATGTATTAAGGAGATTATTTAGAATTTAAGGAAGAGGTAGATTTTAGACTTTTAGCTATCCGTTGATTTTCCATTATATAATTAATATTAATGACTGACTGTTAACTCATTTAAATTATTATCTCTACCTAACATTAAGAATTATAATAAAAAACAGAAAAGTTTAGTCCTATTCTAAAATATTATAAAACAAGATTTACTGTTACTTTCTTATCAGAAAGTATATCAAAGAAATTTTAGTAATGTGAAATAATAAATAAATAAATTAATGAAATAAGAAATCAATTAAAGACCTCCACCACCTAAATTCAATTGGAACATATATGATCACTCATCATCAGATGATACAAAAACTCAAATTTCACTATAAAAATCAGATAAACGAAGATTAAAATAAGTTAATCTATTGATTGATGAGATGTTGGCTAAATTAACTCATAATAATACATTAAATGGAATTAATACTGAGAACATACGCAATTAATGCATAGATTTATTGGATAACTCAGTAATTGAGAAGGTAAAATCAAAAAAATATTAATCAATAGCTTGTGCATTGATTATCTAATCTTTTCGACTTCTATTAATTCCATTTAGAATTAAAGAAATAACTTAAGTATTGGATTGTGATGAAAAGTAAGTGCGCAAAATCTTGATCTAACTTAATCAATTTAAACCTTTCGATCAAGATGCCTTTACCTTGCAATACATGACCAGAATCTGTGTTGCCATAGGATTTAATCAGAAATTTTAAACACTCTGTAGATTCTTCTATTCATACTTAAAGAATCAAAATCTAGTGCAAGGAGAACACGAACACGTCATCGCTTCAGCTTTGGTTAAATTGACTGGAGATTTTGTATTTCGAGATAAGGGTGGCATAAATTTAAATATAATTTCTATAAATGCTGGATGTTGTGAAATTTCTCTCAAAAATTTTCTGTAAAAGCTACAGCCTCATACTCAAGTAATCAATGAATAAGCCTATGAGTTTTACAAAAAAACTTTGTGAATATTTGAAATTTTCTATTTTCTAATTAAATATACAAGAACTAATCACATAATTAAGTTTGAGAAAGAATTTCTAATTAGTTAACCCAAATGACATTATATATAATGGAGTAATCCAATAAAACACTAATTCTATAAAATTCTAATTACAATTAATATATACTGATTATAATTTAAATGCAATTTCCACATTCACATAAAATTTTAGTTTCTATATATATAAGATAATTATAAGGAAAATTTGAGAAATATACATACTGATAAAAAGAATCATTTTTTAGTAAATTTAAGTTTTACAATTTATGATCCAACTTAAGGTTAGTTTAATTAAGAAATGTGTTTAAATTTCTTTGCTTCCAATTGTCTAATTAAGGGTTCTATGGTTCTGTCCTCCCCAGTCTTTTCGATTTAATAGACAGAGATCTCATCATCCGCGTCTTCTTCCTTGATGGATTCTGAACTCCTTTTTTGATGTTATATTTTTTTTAATTTGTTAGTTTAACTGTGGAATTGTGTCAATTGGCTTTTATCTTGCATATTCATATGAAGCAAGGGGTATGAGAGTTCCTTTTCAGTGCATCCATTGGCCAAGATGATTTTTCTGAATAGCTGCTTAAATTTCTCGTAATCTTATGGGTAATCGTTTGCATTGCTGGTTCTCACAAGATGCAAGAAGTGAATGAATTCAAGAGGAGCTTATTTAAAAGTAATTTCAGGAATAACTGATAATTTAATGTTCTCCAATTTTTTAAGTTTAAGTGTCTTATTTTCTGCTTTAATTTTGAATATATCGGAATTGGAAGCATAGGTAAGTAATATGTAGGCTAAGGATTCAAGGTCATCTTTTGGAGTTGGAACTATTTTATTAAAATGAATTAATTAATTACTTTAATTGAGATGTTGGTTTACACTTGAATATTTGTTTAGAAATATTTTGTTTGAATTTAATTTGTAGCCTTCGTTTACCAATAATGTTCCATGTAATTTTTTAAATTTGCAAGCATATTTGAAATCACCTAATAAAATTTAATTTCCATTTGTTGAAAGCAACATTTTCTTGGGCCTTAGGTTTCTATGAACAATCTGATGTTTATGGACAATCTCAAGACAAGTGAGCTAAGAATACATATGAGTAAATACTGTTTAAATGGCAATCAAACATATAATGGGCAATGGTATATTTCTAGATAAATAATTGTATATAAGTTTAATGGAAGGACCGTGTCGTTCCATGATTTAGTAATGGTAATTGAACCCCTTGATCACTTACTCCCCATGATTCACAAGAACAGGAACACAATTAACTAAATTACTACGATTTCGTTACATTCTTTCAATCTGATAAGAAATTAAAGTTCTGGTATTGCCTCGTTCTATTAGGTTTATCTAGAATATTGGAGTGAAATTTACCTTTTCATTTTAATCAGATAATATTTCTCCTAATTGTCGAATGCATCAATATCATCTGACTCTTCTTGTTTAATAGCTAACTAACCTCTAACTTCATCATTTATTACCTAAGTAGAGATTATTCTATTTTCCTTTGTAAATATTCTTCAATATCACGTATTTCTAGTCAACAACCACACGACTAATTGTTTCAGTGGTACTTCTTGTTTATGATGTACTCAACATTTTTTAATAATTAATTATTCAAAAAGAATGTTTGTTCAGATTTAATAAATAGAATCTGACTAAGAAATGTAAATTATATAGGTATGCTTTCCATTTTTATTTGTTTTATTAATTAAAATTAGATATTCTCAAGAATTAGCTATCAATAAAACTGATTAACTAATTACAAAATAAAATAGTAAATTCTATAAATCCTCTCTGTTATGTATTAAATATAAATTATTGGTGATCTTCTATTAATCAAATTATAGGTGATTATAAAATTGCTTAATAAGTGTATCTCAATTTTATTTAGTTTTTCAAACTTAATAAGTTTGTACGTTCTAATTAAATATTTTAATTATGAGAAGATACTTTGTAGGTGGCAATTGGAAATGCAATAACACCATAGCTCAAACTTAGAGCTTGATCAATACAGTCATCAACAAACTAGTCTTTGATATAAACAAAGTTGGTAATTTGGCAAACCATATTTTGTAGAAGTTGCTGTTGCTCCGATATTCTTACATGTCCCATGGGTCCAAGCTAATATCTAAAAGAATGTGCAAGTGGCTATCTAAAACTCATCATTGACCAAGATGGGTGCCTATACTGGAGAAATCAGTGTTGAGCAAGTCAAAGATCTTGGTATTCCTTGGGTTATTTTGGGACATTCTGAAAGAAGACAATACTACGGAGAAACCAATGAAATAGTTGGAAAAAAGACTAGAATAGCGTTGGATTACCAATTAAATGTTATGGCATGCGTTGGTGAAAAATTAGCTGAAAGAGAATCTGGTTAGACAACCTAAGTTATCTAAGCATAATTAAATTCAATCAAAAGTAATTCCCATATTACATAATATTTTTAGAGGAGTTGACAACTGAACAATGGGCTAAAGTTGTAGTAGCATATGAACCAGTGTGGGCAATTGGAACAGGAAAAACAGCATCTCCAGAACAAGCTCAAGAAGTCCATGCTTTCATCAGAGGTTGGCTTAAGTCTTAGATTGGAACACAAGTAAAATACGATTAGCATAATTATAGGCTGAATAAGCTACCAGAATTATTTATGGAGGATCAGTCACAGAAAAGAATGCTGCTGATTTAATTAAATAACCAGATCTTGATGGATTTTTGGTTGGAGGTGCTGCCTTAAAGCCAGCCTTTGCAGATATAGTTGCTGCTGCTAACAATGCTAGATGAATATTTTGAGGATAATAATATATTAAAATATATCCAAAATGCTAATTAATATAGAGATCATATTTTGCATACATATATATATATTAAAATGCAGCAGATTTTTATTTTATGTTGAAGTTTGAGCTATATAAAACAATTAATCAACAACATAGAGATTTTTTTTATTTTTCTTCTGGTCCTTATACTTGGAGAGTTATGATTGTCTTCTAATCAAGACTTTCCATCTTTTTAATTTTAGTCTTTGCCAAAGTTCTAGCAACTCTTCGAAATAATTTATCTACATTATGTCCTGTCTTAGCTGATGTTTGTATGTATTTCATATGATTGTTTTCTAGAAATGTCTAATCAACCTCGAAATCACCCTTATCCTATTTATTTCCAACCAAAAATTTAACACAGTCTGAACTCAAATATTTATCAATTTCTTCCAACCATCTTTTCGCTCCATCCAAAGTTTCACTTTTTGACACATCAAAACAAATTAGGACTGCTTATGCATTTCGATAATAAATGGGGGCGATCTTTTTGAATTTCTCTTACCCAGCTGTATCCCAAATCTCAAGCGTTATTTTAATATTTTTTCTCTCCACTACCTTTTTATAAAATGCTAGTCCAATCGTGGGAGCCTATTGTTCTGAAAACGTGTCTTCTGAGTATCTTTTGAGTATGCTAGTTTTTCCAACATTTGAATCCCCCAGAAGGATTATCTTGAAAGTAAGAGACATTTCTTTCATTAATTAAAATATGCAATAAGAGGAAAAAGAAACTAAAAAAAAAGCAACTTAAAAAATTGAGTATCTATTTGTACTATTCATATCATTAATAAGCCTGGTATGTATAATGATGAATATTTGGGAATTTATTAAGCTAAAAAGAATAAGTATAAGAAGATATAATATAAAATTCCATCAACAGTGATAGATGATTATGATAGGAAAATCTGTAGGTTCGAAGATAAGTTAACTAAAGTAGCTATGGAGAGACAAAGCTTGATAAGGTATTATTGTTACTACTTCGAGAGAATAGTCCAGGACCCCAAACAAGAAGGAGATTTTGAATAAAATCATCAACTAAATCTAGACGCATTTGTTGCAGAAGGAAAGAGAACTTTTTGAAAAATCGCATTGTGATACTCCTGTGGCTTAGCTCGAAAAGAAAAAGTCTTAATTTTTTTAGGCAAAATAACATTTATAATTATTGGAAACTATGGGATATAAATTTGTGGAATAGGGAGTCAATCGGATGAATACGATTAATCCCAAGCAAGTACATTCTTAACCTTGCACTCCCAAAAAATCACAAACAAGATCTTAATCCATTCAAAATGTTGAATCTCAACTAAAGGAAGATAACAAAAATCAATTAAGTGAAAGAATTGAAAGAATTTAAAGTAAAGTTAATTAGCAAATGGCACGTTTAGGATTAAAAAGTCTAAACATCTCTCCTGACTCAATACTAACTCAAAGGAAACCCTAAAAACAAATTAAAAGAACAAAAAGTCAATCTCCCATAAGGTCAGAAATGAGTTAACCTCTACAATAGAACTTTGATTCAATTTCTAAAAAACCTTAAGTTTCTCTGTTTAAGAAATTTCAATTGAAGTTAGATCAAGAATTATAGAAGCCCTAGGATATTAAAGGAGTGATTAATTACTGTAACACTGAAAGATTGGATTTAAAAAATTTGACAAAGGACATTTAAAAAAAGAAAAGAGTTTAATTTAGAAAATTTAGAATTATCCAAAAAGAATTGTCCACAGTGGGAGAACTAGGATTTGAGGGACTCAAAAATAAATATTTTTAATGATGAATAAAGCAATATAAGTTTATATTTATCCTAATAAAGTTTAGTTTAGATTTATGTTTTTATTACTTTTTAATAAGTATAAAATCAATAGAAAAATGATTAGTTAAATTCTTTTTATTTTTAACTTAAACTACGCAAACCTCCTAGATTAATAAAGTATTGCTTCGTTTTATTCCATTCTTTATCAAAATGGTTTTTAGAATAATAGGATTTTTTATTGCTTATTTTTGACAAAAGTATTTGGTTTTCTTTTCTGATTTGTTATTACTCACTCTTCTTTCTACATTCAAAACTGGAAACACGTCTCGGTCTCCTCGTTCTATTGGTTTCACTCTTCATAATGTTTGTAATTTTCTCCAACAACAATCTATTATCTTTCTCAATTTATGTATATCTGTCCTCTAAAAGCCGAATTTTTTTCATATTTGGAATTTTATCAACTGTAGGATTTATCTGTATCAAAGGCTAGACTTATTACAATCTGCTGAATCCATCCAAAATGTCCTTTTCCTACTAAACTCGAATGTGGGGTTTCGGTCGATGCATTTATATTATATATAGTGATTTAATTTAATTAATCAGTTAATTATTATGTGATTATTGCATCTCAAATGTAGGCAAAACCAAGTTTCTATTACCTAGAATAATGAATGCCATCTAGATTTACAAGTTAGATATTTTGAACAGTGTCCACATATCAAAAAGACGAAATAATTATTATTATACTTTTTGGTATTTTATAATATCACAATATTTAAGAATTCTTAAGGGTCGTCTCACTGCATTCTGCCAACTGGAACTTCCTCCTATCTATTATAAAATGAATTCAATTACAACAACTCCAATTCATCATTACTCTCTTCCATATGATAAAACTAACTTTGCAAATAGGACAGATTTTGAATCAAGAGTTTGTGATTTGTTAGCACTCCTAAGACTGGAGCTGTCATAAATGATTTCCGTAATTAACTCTAAAAGATAGGCTGTCTAAGAAATTTTGTTGCAATTCTTTAAAACATAAATATTAATAATGGTTTAATTTTTGTTAATAAATTTGTAGTATTTTGCAGAACTATAGGAATATTAGATCAAGAGTATGCATTGAAACTACCTTGGATGACTTGTGCTAATGCTCCTCTGTATCTTGTAAACTTATTTCTAATATGTTTATCAAATAGAGTCCTTCTGGTTTTGGAAATAAAAAAATACAAAACTTTTTATCTAAAGAGTGTAAAGTTAGCTGGTTCATTGTAAACACTAAGAATTGTCAAACCATTCATAACAGTGTAAATTCTGATAAAATGAGGATATCAATCGAAAGTAAACATAAAAATTAAAATCTATCGAAAATTAAATAACCTAAAGATAAATCAAATAATTAGAGAATCGATTAAATACAAAAAATAAATCAATTCCTAGATGGAGCTGCCCCTATTTATGATAAATTTGGATTTATTCAAGCAAGAAGCATAAATTAGTATGGCAATCAAACTAAAAAACGTATTTCAGCTCTACATATTCTATATCTAAATTAAATTATTCATTTAATTTGGAGAGGAATTTTGGAATTCGATTTCATAAAGATGATAGAATTAGAAAAGAGAATTTGATTTACACTTTAATATAGCAATTAACTAGTTTAAAAATTAAATAGCTGCAGTACTGATCAATTTCTATCTAAAAATATTTATTAATCAGTTTTGTAATAAAATAAATACTTGATATGGTGATGGATAAGCTAAGTTAGATGGAGATTCCCAACATAAATTAATATAAATCTTATTTACAAGGTTCTAAATTAAAGATGCCCGTATTTCATAGATAGCATAATAAATTATCAACTGCTAAACTGGCTACAAAAGTAGAGCATAAAATCCTAATCTATTTTTCATATCAAAGCAATCTATTAATATCCTAGAACTATCAGTGATTATATACCCGACACAATAGAACTAAGGAGATAAAAATATTAAAGAAAGATTACATTTTAAGCATTCAAACCTTTATCATATATGCATAAGAAATGAACAATAATGCCCTACCTACTTTATTGCTATTTTTCCAATACATCTATGAAAAACAACAAAGTTACTGCTATTTTATTCAATGCTATATGATGTGGATTGAAATAAAATGAATTATTTTATACCGTTTTGGCTACTTAAAATTGTAATTCTACATACATAACATTGAATTAATTATTTACTTAAATTTAAATACTTATCAATAATAATAGAATATGATTGGTATGGTAAGTTTGAATATAATACAGAGTAGATATATGATGAATGGCAAATAGATCCTTGGAGCGGTTCAAAGAAGTCTCAAGTTTGTAATGGCGGAGGAATGATCATTACTGAAATTAAATTTAATAATTGCTATATATAAAATATTCTTATATTGAACTCTAATTAGCTAATATGATTTCATCGATGCCAATAACACTTGATCAAATTTATGGAGTGAATTTTAAGAGGGTGCCCATATTATATGGTGAAATGGAAGGAACCAATCCATTGCCAATCAACGAGACAGATGAAGACTAATATTCAGAAAAAATTTCTAGACAGTAACAAAAGCGGTCGTTACCCCCGCTATAAAAAGTAGATATCAGGGTTGTAGGAGAGAAACAGAAGAAAAAATAGAATATGCATCGCTCGCCAGTTATATCTTCCCAATTTGAATAACATATTGGGTTTAGGAATACTTTTTATAGATATAATAAAGTCAATTTGGAATCCAGATGGAGAGTGGAAGAGATTAAAAATAAAGAGTAGGGGTTATTCACAAAATATGCCTAACGATTCAATGTTCCTAAATCATAAATTTGGAATTGAATTTTATTTTGAATATGTCTCCTTTTGATTATTAATCATTCAATTTTATTGTTTGTTCTCAATTAGTTGTACAATCCATTGGAGTTTTACACAAGCTCAACAGCTAAGGAATGCTTGAATAAATTACAAGCAATTAAACTAGCAAAATTTAAATTACAAATCTTATATATAAATTATAAAATGGACGAAGCAAACTATATCAATTAGTTTATCTTAAATGAGGGAATTGATGAGTATAATCAAGAATATCATTTTAGATTGCCATCACACCATGTTGAAGAGGAATCTTTAGAACATTTATACTATTCCATGATGTAATGGCAATCAACTTATGATTAGAAGGATTCCAATAAAAACTTAGCTTAGAAAAGGAGGATCAATGATATGAGGTATTATCAACTATATGTTTGTATCTTCTCTAGATTCTCCGATCTGGAAGATTAGAGAATTTTAGAATTGGTTATATAACTTGGTCCCAACTTCAATAAAATAGTAAAGTATTTCCCAGGGAAAACAATGAATATGATCAAGAATAGATACTATAAAAAGTTAAGATTCAACAAGGAATACTATTTGGGTGATAAATAGAAGAGTAAAACAAAAAAGAACAAATGAAAGAGTGCCATACCTACTAATATAAACATATACTCTATTTATTTGTATTTATTTCATTAAAATTATAAATTTTAATATATAATCACTAAGATGGAATTAAACAATTCGAACAAATGGAATCTTTAAAACATATTAATACAATAAACGAAATAAAATTATTAAAAGATAAGTAAATTTAATGATCAATTTAATAAATTAACTTAAGTTAGGTTACATTCTTTTAAAGATTTATGAAATTCAATGATTACTCATCTTTTTTGGAATTGCAGATTATATTTATTATTATTTATTATAATTGCCAACACAATTATGGATGTGAATTCAACTCTTTATTCCATAAATATGTTCTAAATTGTCAAATATATATTGAACAATTATTTTAGAATATTTAATTATAAATTATGTCATCGGATTAAAAGAAATAGAAAAAAGAGAAAATAAAAATATAACCAAACTAAAATGTGAATATCGAGGATTACATTGTGAATAATACTCATAGTAATTTTTAAGAGTTTTTCGATTATAAGAAAGAATTATGTGGATTGCCAACGTACATCACAATGAATAATGATTTAGTGTTTGTTGGGATGGAATACTCATACATTTATGTTTTCTAATAAGTAATTATTGAGTGAGCATTTAGGATAATGATTTTAAATAAGGCTACAAAATACTCGGAAAGGATACTCAAATATATAGAGGTTAAGTGAAAATGATATAAATTTCTAATGACAACTAATTATTATTGGTGACATATTCCAACAATGAGTTTGTGATCTTTAGTTTGAAAGTAAAAATCGCTATCTAATTTTATACATAAGTCCTTCAAAGAAGTCCTACAACACAGATACTAACATCTAAAATATGCCTATATGGTGCCGTTATCCATTAATTCAGATCACTTGCTATAATTAAGGAAGGAATAGTATTACGAAATTATGATTCATTTGGAAAACAATTATTTATTGAAGGTTCCCTTAGAAATAAATATCAACACATTAGAGCAAAAGATAGGGATTCCTATTTATAAATTTGGCGAACCTTGTGAAAGATAGAAAATAAAGGAGAATAGACATGCTGTAAAACTTTAGCTTATTTTTTAGAAAGTTATTGAAAATGATTATGTGATGCCTCAAACATCAATAATTCAAGATGTATCCATTATGGACTCATGTTACGAAGAATTTATCTAATGCATGGATGATAGAGATAGTACTGCTTCATACGGCAGTCAATTGGATCAGTCTCCAACCAAAAAAAGGAAAAGCAATTTTTTGAAATAAATATTTTCTAATAGCACCAATTCAAAATAAGAATAACCAGAAGAGACAAACGAATATGTAATTAGTACATAATTTGTAAGATATTGAATTCTATTATTTAAGTATTTGATGGCTGTAGGATTTGTAAACAAAATTCAAGTAGTAAAAATATTTTTTGGTAATAAATTAAATGAGGAGCAATCAAAAATCTAGTTATTATTGAATTTTTAAAGACCTGATGCCTAGATCTATAATATCGTTTTTAATTAGCCTCAAGCAATCGAAGAATAAAAACCCAGATGCTCATGTGCTTGGGGACTAGGAAGTTTTAAGGAAACCAATAAGAGATATGTATTGTTAATTATAAATTGGGGATGCAGAGAATATTATGCATTTAAAGTGATGTCTAGTGATTACAAAATACAAGTCATTTAAGGAGGTCACTTTTATAACTCTGTCGATTTAACCTAGTTGAGAGAATTTCCAATGGTATGTAACTTCATTACGAATTCTGTGTTTTTTTCTGTTCTTCATAATAAATAAAATTAGACAGTAATGAAATTATTGACAACTTCTCAATTTGAATTCGGTGTGCCATTCACTCTTGGCCAAATTGAGAAGCATTTCAATTAAGAGAAGCACATCTAAACATTGCAGAGTGGTCAATACAACCCAAAGTTTTATACTTTCATTAGAGAAAACAAGCAGGAAGTGCTTATTAGTCAAAATGTGATGGATTCAATTAATGACGGTTATCAAAAATCCAATGATATTGTTTTGAATTTTAAGTAATTGCATCCTAATTGTAAGATTTCTGCTTAAATTTAGTATAAATTATTTATAAAAATGAACAGTGCTATATTTTGAATGGAACTGAATTGTTATCCATTCGACTGAAGAAATGGGATGAATTATTATATGAACAGAGTGATAATAATGAATGGGAGAAGTGTTTTCAGACTGCAGTTGAAATACACAGAGGTTATTTGACTTTGTTATGCAATATTCCTGAGAATGATGTTCAAAGACATTTCTGTATTAAAGAGACATGCTGTAAATTAGGATTGCAATATATGTTGTCACAATTGCCAAATAAATAATTGAAAAATAGCTAATCAGTGTTAACTATCATGCATTTCCTCATAAGGACTTAGAATGAGGAATATTTATTTGAATCAATTGAAGATCTCATGGTTGGGTGTGGTTATAGAAATGTGTTTTATGACTATCTTCGAGATTTACTCTAATAACATTAAGTGAATATTCCATATTAGCACTAATTGAAGGTCTTGAAAATGTTCACAGAAATGGACGATAAGGAAACTTGTACTAAATTAATAATGTCAATTTAAAATATATAGCGATATGATCCAAAAGGATTAATAGATTTCTGTTTAGAAAAGGATCTGATTGAACCCATGATGCACATTTGCTCTTAAATTAATGACTTCCTGACACCTTATTTAAGGATTATTACACTACTTAGTATTCTATCAAGTAAGAATTGTTTGACTGAAGAAGAAAACAAGAGCATCACTACTTTAAGTTTAGATTAATGCAAGATCTGTCTATTTAGGTACTCTTATTAAATAAACAAGTTTCTTGTCTTTCTGTTTCACTGGGCAAAACCAATCTAATCCTGAGTCATTCTTCACTGATCGCTAATTCAAAGCAATGTTTAAGGATTTATTCGAATATCTATTTGATCTTGAAAACATATAAAAACTGTTTGAAATAGATTACATCAAAACATTGGAAGTATTTCTGTAAGTCTTTTCAGAAAGGATTCAAGATAACTTTAAGCAATTCATAAATGAAGGCAAGGAAATTAACATCGAATTATCAAACAGCTTAATCAATGGGTTCTTGCCTGAAATATTAAGTATTATACCAATTAACAATAGTTATTGAATAAACCGATCATCACTTAAGAATTTTATCAAAAATCTATGTTTTGATTAAAATGGCTGAATAAAAGTATTACGTCAAGTTAAATAATGCAAAAATGATAGAAGAGTATATGCATTATTCTAGTGCATTTTCAGCAAATGTTTTTGCCATCTGTCCATTCCACTTCAATATTAATCACATTATGCTCAATCTTATAAATTATATGGATGCCCTTAGATCATAGTAAACCACATTATTCGATATAACTTGGATTTTGAGGGGTAGAGTCCAAAAAGATTTACCAGCCGAATTAGTGAAGAATGAATTTTTGCATAAGGTGATGTTGAAAGTTGAGAAGTAATTTGATGGACAGTATAAGTTGCTAGAAGAATTACGTTAAAAGGCATAAGAAACTAATTGGTATTAATTGAATGTATACAATATAGGATTTGGATGGAAGCATTTTGTTTGATAAAAATGAAACGAGTGCCTGAAGCATTGTATTTATATCTAAGACATCCCGATCCATTGTTATCTGAGCGTGTGTTTACAGCCTTAGCAGTACAATTCAGATCAAAACAACAAGATGAATTCGTGTAAGATTGGATTTATAAGAATTTGGCTTTGCTTGCTGCTGAAAACTCGCATAAATTATTTTAGTTGCTTTATACATATAAGAAGGATGACTTACAGGAAGTTTTCAAAGAGCTGAAATAAGTGGGAGTAGTGTAAGTAGATCAAAAAATAAAGAACTAACATTAAATGGATCTCCTAGGTGGATTTGTAGAATATCTGAAACCAAGAATGTAGATAGATGAGAATCTACTTAAGATTTGAAAGATAAATTATTTGTATATGCATTCCGATAAATAATTATATATTTATTTGATCATCATTCTTGTTCTCCTTCCTATTAACCATCTCCTCCATCTCCTTGTTTTTATCCATCTCCATCATCTCCTTATTGTTGGCCATCATCATCTCCCTATTGCTAACCATCATCATCTCCTTGTTATTAACCATCGTCTCCCTATTATTGACCATCATCTCCATCTTATTATCCACCATCTTGATCTCCTTCACCTTATCCTTAATCCTATTGATCTTGTTGTTATCCTCCATCTCCTCCCTATTGTTACTACTTATCATCATCTTTTGGTGATTATTTCTTGTCATCTCTAAAAAACATAATTACAATTTATTTACTTCTTTTGAGCTTTGGGACTGAACTCTGATAAATCATTTAATTTAGCTTCTTCATCCTTTTTAACAATTTGACTGAATTATTATTCAGCTTCTGCAATTAATTCGGCCTTTCTTTGTTCCCATTTTTATTAGGCAGCCTTATTATCTTTTGGAACAACTTTCTTCATCAAATCTTGTTGTTTCTTAATGGCTTCCAAGTTCTTTTCCTTTCTTGATTCTCTATCAAACATTTCGTTCATCACATCCTTTTCTCTAAATTGCAATTGATACAATGAATCACATAATTCTAATAAAGTGACTGTACCATCCTAATCACCAATGGCTACTAATTTTCCAGCATTATGATGAGCACCACCATTAGAATTTATTTTTATACAAGTCAAAGCTGTCTCACTTACCTTGTGACTGAATGCAATTTCATTCTATCTATAGTAATAATCCCAAACATCCATCCAACCATCTTTTCTAGTTAAAAAGAACACTCCATTTCTAGTGGGGGACCAACAACCATCTGTTAAGTAACTACCATGATATTTCGTTCTCATTATTGGTGTCTTGATATCCTCAACCCAAATCTTCGCACTCCAATCTCCAACTGTTAAGAAGAATTTGGGATTTGGAGGACTTCTATTAATTGACATGACTGGACCCAAATGTCTTCCACTCTCCAATCCATATCTGGCTGTAATTTCCACAGCTTTCTTTGGTTTTTTGTTAGCAACCATTAGAGAACCCATCTCTGTACCAATCAAATATTTGGTTGGACCAGCTTCTGTATTATATTCCAATACTGTTGCACCAATCAAAGGATCATTTGGATTAGATCCTTCCGTGACATTTAATGATTCAATAGGACCTTCATTCAATTTTCTAGTATCCCACCACAAGACACGACCATCAGTTGATGTTGTCACGCATTCTGTACCAGTCTTGCTAAACAACCATTGAAAATGAGTAATTGGGTCATGATGAGATTTTTCAACAGGTGATGTCATTACAGGCTATTTACCTCTCTTAACGTCCCAAACAGCAACCAGACCGTTATAGCATCCACCACCAATTTGGTCAGACAATTTTGGATTGTACATCAAATTGGTAATTGGAGAATTGGTTTCTAAGTGGAATTCAGGACTATTTGGATTTTGTAAATCCCAAACATATGATGATTTCATCATCCCTTCTGGCATTTATTAGAATCTGCTTATTGCATAGGAAACAGCTGCCTTTATGGGGCCTTCTGGATGCCAAGATATTTCAGACACAGATCTTTTAATTCCTTCTGATTAATCCCTACAATTGTATCAACTAATACTTAAATAACATCAAGGTCTTGGTGCTTAGATTCTCAACTTGATGTTCACTCTCCTCGTCTAAGAAATACTCCTCGAACAAATCTATCTGGTTATTCTAAAGAATGCATTTCTCCACTGTATTGCTTAGCTCTTTAACTGCAACTGCAAATGCCGCATCTTTCTCGAACCTTCTTCTGTATTTATTTTGGTCTTGCTGCTCCATTGGGTCTATGCCTGTAGGCCACTAAAAACTGTTGCATAAATAAAAATACCCCTCCTTCTTTATGGTACATCACTTTGTCTCCTGTCGATACTCTCTCTGTGTTAACCTGTATTTTTTAAAACAAATGCTTACAGAATGCTCTGAGTATTCTGCTATATTATCCAAATCAATGTGATTGGGATTTCTTTTCACATAGTTTGGAATCACAGCAACCGTCTTTGTGTAACCTGCTATTTTTATTTCACTGTCCTAAAAATTGCAAGGCTTTCCCAGATCTCTTCGTTTCCTTTGATATGTATAATAATCTGCCATTTAATTATTAATATTAAGTAAAAGTAATTCAAAATTGCATTATATACCTAATTAATTCAAAACACTTTCGATCCACCCATTCTCCCTTTCAAAAATATATTAGAGTACTTTACGCAATTCGGATCATGATCTAATTAAATACAATCCTTACTTTCATCATTCTCCTCCTTTATCAATTCTTTCCTAAAAAATGATTTCAATTCCTCGTTAGGTTGGAACAGGGAAAATGCACTAGAATTTGAACTCATTGAATCTACAAATACTACTACTACATTGTACCTTATTCTTCAAACTAAGAAACTTGAACCTCCTTCCCTGGAGATGAAACATTTTCAGCCGACTTCAAAGAAACTTGCTATATAATTGGAGAATTTATCAACTTATCTGCCATCTGCTTCAATCCTCCACTATGTTTTTCATAATTAATAGATTATTGAGTATTAATTTGAGTTCCTTAAGTCTTTTATCTTTAAAAGAATGAAAATGTATTCTCTGTTTACAAAACAGATTATTAAGATTATTATTATTATTATTATTCATATCTATTAGGAGATTTTTTCTCTTTTTGTTATGGTGTAGATTATACTTTCTTTGTTGCCATTTAAGTTTAGATCTAATTAGGTTCTTACTTTTAATTTACTATACCCTAATTTGTCTTTTTCTCCTAAACCTACCATGGTTTTTCTAACTTATAATCAGGCTGGGTTTCAATTCTCCTCTTCAAATTTAATAGATCCTTCTAAGATTAATTATAGTCTTAAGATTGTTATTTTAATTATTGCTGTTATTTTTCAATTTCCAACTTTTGCTACTATAATTGTACCTACTATTGTAACTTTATGTAGTCCTTTATTTATTGCTCCTAGAGACTTGTTTCTGGAGTTTCCGTGTATTTTGTTGGGTTCTACTTGATTTCCTCCAACACACCCTAGTAATCTGCTATCAATTCTCTGGTTAAATTATTTTGCAATTCCTTTAATTTGTTTTCTGGCCCCCTCTTGGACTTTTAACTCTTCATCTCTATAAAGTATTGGATAGATTATTTTGGTGTTCTAATATTGGAAATTTCAGATTTGGGCGATCTAATTTGTTCTGTCTCCTCATACTGTTAACTAAGTGCCATTCTCATTGCCTGATCATCTAGATGGTGTCTAGACACAGCATTTCTTTGGTGGCTTAACGGAGTTGGAGCTTGGGATTCGGTAATCTTAGGAGTTAGAGCTCTCTCCTTTGATTTTACTCCTCTTATTGTGTGTTCTTCTTCTTTAGTTTAAATATTCTCTATCTGTCTTTTGATGAGAGTAATTTGTTCCCTGACTAATTTATTGTCATTATCCTAAAGAACACTTTCTATTCCTATCAGAGCCAATAAAGTTATAGTCTATTAAGAGCTCTAATTAGGTAGAGTGTGCATGAATTGTTGAATGAGACTTTGCCGAATACTCATTTTGAAATAAATATATTTAAATTATCTGTTAATTATTAACAAGACGACAAACAAAAAAGGTCACCATTTGAGAGAATTGAACTATCGCCTATTTTCTTATAAATCAAATCTGTTCTAAGTTAACTCTGTCAGAACTTGACATCCAACTTTACAAATTACTTGTCGAAATCATATCTTCGAGTTATTTTTACTATTTTTATTAATAAATTTCATACTAGTGCTAACCATAATTCTCTTGCCTTTCTAACAAGACGATTTAGGAATTGACTGGAGTTAAAAATCTAAAGACGATTATCACATGGGCATAAATGATCTAATTATAAGTATGAAGTTTTATTTACTATTTAGATTATTTATTATATACATTAACAAACGATAACTAATCAAATAATTGAAAATCTTGCTCTTTTGGTTTTTCGAGGATCAGCTTAGACTGTGAGAACATTGTTATTAAATTATTTTGGTAGATTTCTTTAAGTAGATATTTCACCAACTTCAATTGATTGATCATCTTGATCATAATTGTTTTTTTCAATATTAAATGTATTTAGATGTTTATTTTTCCTATTTTATGTAGTTCCTTATTCACCAAAAAGTTTAGATTTACGAAATGATTACTTGATATCTGAGATTAAAATATTTTTGTTGAGTATTGATTTCTTTATTGGTTTATATTCTATAAGTTTCCAATATAATATTTTTTCCATTATTAACAGTCCCTTTACAATCATTGCAATTAACCATAGTAATACAAAAATTGTAATGATTGAAAACACTATAAATATGATGAGAAAAGATTTGGAGTCTAGAAAGTTCTTCCTATCAGTAATTGAATTAGCCTCTTTTCTATATTACAATAATGTTCATACAATCGAATTCCAAGTAAGATTACAACAACTATTAACACAATTAAGAAGACCAATAAACAAAATAAAGGTAATTTATCCTTGCTATGAGACCATGCTGTTTACTAAAATGTAAAATGTTAATTTACAGGATCAAAAATCTTCTGTATTTTGAGTTCCATTTAATAAGTGTCAGAACAAATTTCACATTTTGCTTTATTTAGGTTAATTCGATATTTTTATATAATCTGTTTTTTCAAGCAATATTCATGGACATATTTCTGAGATCTTATACATTTACATACACGAATAAGGGGGTTTTCTTTGTTTTCTGGGAATTCACATATTCTACAAACACAACCTACACTCTTAAATGAATCTATGTTTAAATTTATACAAACTTCTTGCGTAAATGTCTTTATGACATATTAGTTATTGCTTGCTCTCTTATTTTTAAAGAGTAGAATCAATAATTTTTGAAGACTCAGGAATTTCATTAATGATTATCTCTATTATTGTATTTAAATATACACTCTTGAGATTAATTTGATTTTATTGCATACTTCTTCTAAATAATTTGTATAATATCTAATGGAGCAACTTGCGATTCAGAAATTTCAAGTTTTTCTTCCTTGGAATTTTCAACTTTATTCATAATTATAAACTTTATATTATAATAATGCAACGATGAAATAGATTAAACTGTACCATAAAATGATAGCACTTATATAATATCAAATTTTAACCAACAAGTATTTTATTTTCTCCATCATGTTAATTTTATTGCAGTTACATTAAATATAGCAATATTGTAATTCCCATGAGAATGTCCCCTTTATTCTCTACCTATTTTGATCCCAAAATTTTCCAATAAAATGTCAATTTATCCTTGATTGAATTTTTCCATATATCATTTAAGCCATCCTTATATAAATCTCTTCAACATTCTTTTCTATTGAAAACTGATTTCAAAAAATTCAATTCCACATTCCTTTGCCTACTACATTACCTTATTATATGAAATAAAGCGCGTCTTTACTATGAATACAATATTCAAAATTGTAAACTTATGTTTAATCAATCTAATTTGATAATTTTTTATCTAAAGCTCTAAATAAACAGTCATCTTTTCATTTTATATAGAATGTTAATCAATAAACGAGTGTAAAATCTAGATTTTTCAATGGCTTAAGAATTAACTCATTTTCAATAACTGAGTCACCTATAAGAATCACTTTGAATGGATAATTATATGGCATTATGTATTATTTAATTAAAGAAAAAAAAGTTGAAAACAAACCATAAGCTCCATAATAATATTTAATTATCGCTTTCGAGTTTCTACTGTATTTTAATTTAATAAAATAACAGATATGAATTCAGTTATAGTGCCTAAATAATAAATTATTTTAACAAAATAGAATATTCATAATTTTATTATGCTTGATATTTTTAGTACTGAAATAAAATACTAGAGTTCATAAAATAATAATTCTTTAATCTATGATTTATAAATGAGAATCTTCAAAAGAGTAAGTGGTTAATTTTCGTTAGACTAACACAATATTTAGTAAGAAAATTATTAGGATATAAAAATGTTAAAAATTTATGAAACAAATTGCTTTTTTCTACTATTTTTAGGACTCATTATTTTAATTAATATTTGAGATATTTATAGCAAAGAATTTAGATTAGTGTGTTCTCAAAAGACTTTTTCAATAATTTTTGCTTGAATTGAACTAATTTGGGAAGAAAATCTGATGATTCAAAGAAGGATGAAAAGTGAAAATATAGTACATCATAAATATTGATATTCCGTTCTAAATAGTTAAGAATTAATATAATTTATAATATTATATAGCTAGAGAAATACAGTTAATGAGACTCATTAATTAATTAATTAAAGAAAATTCCATACAATTTATGGGATTTGTAAGAGTAAGAAGGCTTGAAAAATAGAAAATGAGAACTGTAATTAGAAAAATTAGAAGTATGAGATAACTTTTGTATAAATTATGATCATTTATTTTAAATTTAAAGATTACGATATAATTAAGTTCTAAAAATATTTTTGTCATCTTATAATAAAAATATAATTCAATAATGGAGGACCTCAAGAAACAGTATAGCAAAATAAATAAGGAATTAAGAGAGCAAATCATTCATTAGATCTTAGATGAAAAGAAGTCAATCGCAGATGTAATTCTATGTTATGTAAAATAGGTCGCCTAACAACATAATATATTATTATCTACTTGTAAATCCATTATTAACACGTATATGCGAGAGGGAAGAGTTGGTAAAAAAGAGAGTCGAGTAAGGAAACTTAAAAAAATAATTCGAATATATGATATTGTATTAAATCCTGTTCAGCCATAAATGTCCACTTACCTTTATAGTCAAAAAACAGAAAACTGCATAGAAAAGTCCATTAAGAGTTAGAAAGAAGATAATGAATAAAAAGCAATTTAGGAAAATCAAAATAATGATAATTTTATGATGCTTTCTTTATGGTGTGAACAAATCAAGAAATAATTCGCACCCTATGGGTAACCCAACTACATATTCCAACCAATCACTTAACCTTATTAGAAATGACTTATATATATAATTTATTTAAAATTTATATCTTATTATTTAATTACAATTTCAAATTCTTTATTTAAAAATACTATATTAAGTATTAATATTATGTGATAAAATCGAAAGAATTATTTATACATCCATCATCTTGGAATTAATATTTTCTTATTTTGTAAAACCCTGTTTGTAGAAGGTAAATTTGTGAATTTTATAAAATATTATCATATCCTTAAAATAAAATAAATTGAATCGAAGGCTATTATAAAAAGAATTAAATTATGTAAAACGAATTGTGAAATGGCTATTTATTTAGCACACTTTGTAGTTGAATACCCAAAAACTGGGTCAAAAGTTAATTTGTTAATTTTCATAATTTAAACTTCTTACATAAGGTAGCTAATTGTATAATATCCTGATTATTAATAAACAGGAAGTAATTATTAGATGCATGAATGTTAACTTATATATATGATTTGAATTAAAAAAACAAGTCTTCATAAATCTAAAATAGAATTTAATCAATATATTATATTAATTATGATGTTAATTGAAGTTTAGACTGAATTAGTTGACTATTTGTTGTAAACGAAATCTAATTTAATTTGAGATAGTTTTCATTCATATGAGACTATTGCTATTGAATTTTCTACAAAATACTAAAATTTCGCTTTTGAGATGAAAATTTTAAGAAAATGCTTTTTAATTATAATTCACATAAAAAGGAATGCTCAATTATCATTTATCTTTTTCAATCTTTTTTTCCCCATTTTATAAGCTTTGCTGTTAAATTTGTCTCAAAATTGGTAAAGTTACATAATTGACAAACTATATTTTTTTGTTCTACACTGTTCTTTGAGGAAGCATATTTGGACTCGAAGTTTAGTTATTTTAATTAATATTATTTTGAAAATAATTTTGAGCATTTAATGTAGATGTTAAGAATGATATTAGATGGCAGTAGTGATTTTGAAATTTGAGAAATTATAAATATTATGATGCATCTAAAGGCAATTAATTAATTAATATATATACTCAAAAATAACAGAAGGATGGCCACAGCATTTGTTTCTACAGGGCAATCTATAAGTAAAATGGTCTTATTCAAAGTTTTAGTTGGAACTTATGTCTAGCAAGATATAGAGACAAGATTGCAATAAGATGTATATAAAAGGCAAATTAGAGTCAGGGAATTCTTTACTGATTTTGATCGATTAAGAAAGGGTTGGGTGACAGAGGACAAGGTAATGCATTATGATTGATCTCTAGTTTCGTTCTGCTCTTTCTATGATAAATTTTCATTTTACAAAGGAGGATATAGAGGAAATCATTCGAAGATACAAATTAAATGATGGGCTAATATAATATACGACATTTTGTAATAAACTTGAAGAGCAATTTCTGAATAATGAAGCAAAGGCTCAGGTATTTTAAGCGCCTCAAGTATAAAGATGTTAATATTTAGATTTTCAATCGAGATGAGGAGGATACTGTAAAAAGATTAATGTAGGCCATAAAAAGAAAGATTGCTACAAAAAGAATATTCTTGAAACAGCCATTTTAAGACTTTGATAGGACTGCATGTTCACATATTACAATTGATTAATTTTCGAGAGTTCTAAATTAATTAGGATTGTTGCCAAAAGATCAATATCTGCAATTACTTATAAGATAATATATAGATAATGGAAATCCTAAGGAAGTTAATTATGTAAAGTTTTGTGATGATGTTGATAATGTGTAAGAAATGCTGAGTGGAGTGATCACAGGAATCAAACAGAATCCAAAAGATGTAAAATGAGAAAATAATGTTATAGATTCACCCAGATGATGACTTTATAGAGGACAAAGAGGGTTTGGATTTGATTTCCACATTATTCACATCAAAAAAGCTGACAGATAATATTAATACATTGAATCAAGTATTGAAAAAGATTTAAGGAGATGTTGTTATGAAAAGAATCAGAATAAGAGAGTTCTTTAAAGATTTTGATCCTTTGAGAAAAGGTTTGGTAACTGAATCCTAAGTATGAAATCAATAAATGAATATAGTTTGCTAGAATCTTGCATATTCAAAATATTCCAGTTTCTGAAAAAGAAATCTAATTGCTGTTGAATTAATACAAGATCGACAAGATTCCAAATGGTTAAGTGGATTATAATTAGTTTTGTGAGGATGTCGATAAGATATTTACAATTAAGGGTATTGATAAGGAGCCATAAGCTTAGGTTCCTTAAATAGATGACTCTACGACTCTACCTGCAAGAAGAAGATATTTATAGATGACAGAATAGGAGGCAATTTAATTGGATGAGTTACTTATGAAATACAAATAAGCAATCCAAAATAAGAGAGTACTATTAAAACCCGTTTTTGAAGATTTTGATAAGACTAAATAAGGTTATATTACAACCAATCAATTTTTGAGAATTCTGAATCAATTCAATCTATTTCCTGACCCAGTTTCACTAAACCTCTTATTAAAGAGATTTGTAGATAAAGCAAATTTAAATGAAGTCAATTACTATGATTTTTGCAGAATTGTAGATTAATCAGATGAGGGAGTTGCTATTAGTAGATCACATGCAGATGCCTTTAAAAATTATGTTAAATCAGATAATTTGAGTTAGGCATTTATTAGAAATGATCAACCTAATGACTTTGAAGATTTGATGGCCAAATTGAGAAGAATAGTCAAAGAATAAAGATAGAGAATTGCAGAATTTCTTCGAGATTTTGATAAATTAAGAAGTGGTACAATAACAGTCACTTAATTGAGAAAAGGATTAAGCATGGCTAAGATACTCTTATCAGATGCAGAATTTTAATTGATTCTGTACAATTTCGGATGTAAGGACAAGTAAGGATTTGTATTTTGGAAAGAGTTTACAGATTAAGTAGATTAGGTGTTCACTACTAAAAATCTGGAGAAAGTCAGTCCATCAGAAGATATACCATAAATGTCTACTCAATACAATTATGGTAGAGTCTCTATTACTGAAAGAGATAGACAGGTAGCTGAAGTAGTGAAAAAGAAATTCTAATATTTCTGTAAAGCTACTAGACTTGATATTAAACAATTCTTTTAAGATTGGGACAAGTTGGGTAGAAATAAGGTGTCCCCAAAACAATTTAGATAGACATTGGCTACTGTTAATTTTATTTTATCTGATGAAGAATTTTAGGCAGTTGTAAAGATCTATGCTGCAGAAGATGATGGTGATATCAGATATGTTCAATTTATAAATGACACTTAACCACCATTGGAAATACTAACAGAGTCTGGAGCATCTTAGGCTTATGTTGGTGTTTAGCCAAAAGAGAAAGAAAAAGTACACACTTTCCTTATAAATAGTTATAACCTTCTGTGTTATTAGAGTAGATTAAAGTGGCTGTCAAGGTGAAGAGATTGAGATTGGGGGATTATTTCAAAGACTTTGATCCTCTGAGAAAAGGAATGATGCCTACAAATAAGTTTAGAGGAGTCCTTAGTCAGATGAAGATAGATTTAGATTAAGAAAGTTTGGATTTATTGGAAACCATGTATGTTGTACCAGAAGATCCAATCAGAGTGAATTACGCTAAGTTTATTGATGATGTGGAAATCGTATTTACTAAGACAGTAATTTATCTATTGAAAATGTTTCTAGGGATTAGATAAGGATCCATTAATGAAACCACCTGTTCATGTAATTCCCACTTTCCTTGATCCTAGGGATGCTTTGACTTAAGATGAGGAAGAAGCTTTGCATGCGATTATGTTAAGACTTGGCGAAGTTGTGAGAAAGCATAGGATTTTACTTAAACCTCACTTTCAAGATAAGGTAAATTATTTGATAGGAATGTTTAGGATAAAACAAAATCTGGCAAAATCACTTTTACTAGATTTAGATCTATTATGGACTTTCACAAATTACCTTTGACTGATGATCAATTTAGAGTAATTTGCAAGAGGTTTTATTGTTTATTGATATCATTTTAGATTTGCATATTAGGGCATCGAATTCAATTATGTTGAGTTTGATGAAATCTTAAAAAAGTATGAGAACTTTTATCAATGAATTATAATCAAATTAAATATTTAATATAACATTTCTAAATTCTATCTTCAAACTTCAAACAATTTAAAAATAACAAAATGATTGGCCAACTTAGTAAATTAAACAAATATTAATATTTATTATTTTTCCCATGAGTATAGGCATAATTAGAGCCAAATGTGCACTTTCAGTACCTTAATCTAATAACGTTCCTGGTGCTATGCCCATACTAATGACTCTTTAGAACAACGAAAACGATAGTACAACTTAAAACCATAATTTTGATTAGAGTATTAGAATGAACCAAAGCAAGGAGACTCGATTTTTATTCCTTTCATTAATGAAAGAGACAGAATGAACAGATTAGTTTAAGGAGACAAATACTCCACTCCAAAAAGATAAAACATCTAATAAGTCCCTGAGACTGTAAAAGAAAAATGGATACAGCATGATCCCATGAAGTTGAAATTACCACACAAAAGACTTTCCCTAGAAGATCGACATATGAGTAATCAATGTTACTTATTTAGATAAGTAAAGGAGTCGATCTAATGCTGAATTGCGAATGAAAGTAATTTAGACAACTACGGAAAGATAAAGTCTCTTACTCTCATAAGATCAATCTATCTAACCTTAATTTGAAGAATATAAAAAGGCCGTCTATGAAAATATATTAAATAAAAAGAAACAAATTCTCTAATCTCCACCTCAACAGACAACAGGAAAGAATTAAAGCTCTGAAAATTTATAACTATTTCCAATATCTACGTTTGAAAAATTAAAATAATCAAGATCTCCCTCACTTATTTTTGTCAAAAAATCAATCTAACAAACTGCATCGAAACATTAACACTTTCTAAATTTTAAATTACCATCTCTTATTCAAAAGGAATATATAAAATAGTTTTTAGACAGCAACAAAAAAATCAAAGATCTAATACAAGAACAAAATGATGAAAAATTTAAATTCCCATCAGATTTTGAGCCAAAAATAGTAGAAATGAAAAAACAGTTAAAAAAAATGAAAAGCAGACTTAAGAATTGGGAAACCGATAGAGAAGTCACAGACAATAAAGGATTTTTAAAAGAAATTGCCTGTGGCATCATAAATAAATGATATATTTATGTTTATTAAAAATTATTACCCTCAAGTTTTAATTAAGTCATATGAGATTTTTTACAAAAATTGAAAAAAAAGAAAACAAAATAATTAAATGCAATCATACCATTTGCTTTTGAAAATTAAATCTATGTTTGGAATTTTTCTATAATAAATCTAACAATTATGATGCAGATGATTGATCATCCTCATATGACAAAGAAGAATCTAGTGATGTAGTATTACTCTCAAACTAAAAGGATTATATGAATTTTAATACTCTCTCATCTGTCAATGAAGATATTGTCTCTTAAACTGGTGAAATTTGATTGAAAAAATGTTGAAATTTTGGATTGCTGAATTAACGAACTTTTTGCTGATTGTTCAATCGCTCTTTTAAAATTAAACTCTATAAAGCGTCATATCTCTTTACAAGCATTTGCTTAGTTTTATTTAAATCCTTTATTTCCTTAATCAGGAAGGCATTTTCTTAATTATATTTTTAGAGTTCCACTTATAATTTTTTCTTCTCTTCCTAAATTGCCTTATTAGTAACTCGAAATGAAGAATAATTTTGCTAAGCTTGTTAATTAAATATATACAGGAGTGTTTTGACTAAAGTATTGCATCTGACGATCAAGGAACACTAAAAACTCATTTTAATTTGCTTGCTTTTCTAAACATTAATCAAATAACTCTATCTATGCCATTTCATTTATGTTATGCTAAGAAGTGCTTCTATGTTTGATCCCTCCAAATTATTAAACCTAATTAATATCCATTTTTATATTGGTTGACATTGATTTTGGTAATGTGTCTTAGTTAGATCGTTGCTTTCTTAATTCTACCATCATTTTATAATTAAATTATACTTGCGTAATTGATTCCACTTGATTTTGGAGTTGTTGAATTCATAATTTAAATTTTTTTTAACTATATATAATTAAATTTTAATATTGTATTTCATCAAATGCCTTTTGTTAATATCCTCATTTTTGCTACAAAATCTCAAAGTCATTATAGAACCCAAAATGACTTATTGTAATTTGATAACAAATATTTTCTAATTCGCAAAGTTCCACAAAAAGAGTGATATAAACAAGAATAGTATGAAACTAGCTAAATTACAAATAAGAAATTGGTGGAATGCAAAATAATAATTGATAAATTGAGTAGAATTCTTGAATAAATAGATTTTCATAAAAATATTCTATTATTTTTTGTAAACTTAACTTAGCTTTATCCATAAAAATTAGTTATTAATGATTGGTAACCTAACTATTAGATATGATTTAGGGTAGATTGAAAAACCCTTTAAATTTTAATTTACAGCACTTAATTCTATACATTAACATTTATTATTTAAAATGCTGCAATTATAGTTAGAGGTGAGGACAATCTAATTTTATATTAATTCAATGACAGAATTCTGTTCGATCTAATTTATTCATAGTATGAGATATTTATAATAGACTTATCGTCAACTCCTTTGAAGTCATTATTGAAATGTAGATGTAGAGATATCCAAGAAATTAGAGAAAAAATTGATTTAAATATATAATACTTTGATAAAGGGAATGTAAGTTTAGTTATTGATATAATCGTAGTTGAGACTGTAGATATATGATGGCTAAATTATTTTCGGAGAAGCCACAATCAATTTAGGATTTTACATTGAAAACAGCCTTCCTGTCATCATCGATAACATTACAATACAGAGTAGGTATGATCAGGAAGCTTATGTTGAGATGAGTTTAGGTTGGAACTAATTTGAGTAAACACAAACTAAAGAAATTCAATAGACTAATCCCATAAGAGAATAACCATTATTTATAAAATTATCTTAATAAACAGCTAATAGAGTACCTAATGAGATAGATCAACAGATTGAAAATAGATTAATCAATGCGCCTTCTTCAGAATAGAACTATATTCTGCAAAGCAAATAAGAATATATTGATAATAAGCCGATAGAATAATAGAAATAATTGGAGGATGAAAAAATAGATGATATTCCAAAAGCACATCTCGAAACAATAAACTCTCGAAGATTCTAAACACCAAAAGACAGTAAACTCGCCAAAAAACAGAAAATTTAAAAGTCTTCTGGATTATTAGAGCATTATAAAACATAAATTCATTCAAAATCTACTTATAGTGATTCAAAGCAAGGTGCAAGGGAATAAGGACTAAGGATAGTACAGAAAAGTCCTAATGGATTTGATTCAAGAGCAAAAATCAGAATCCATTAAAATGAAGATAACGATGCAATCAAAGGAACTGCGAAATAATAAAGAAATTGCAATAAAAGACCAGCAGCAACAGAGGATTAAGGGAAAAATAGTTAAAAATATCTAGAAGCTGGGTTCTTTACAAGCAGATAACTAGAAATGGATTTGAAAGAGTATCAATAAGTATCAATTCAGCAATTATTAAATGAAAATCAATAAATGTAATATTAGATATAGAGATTGTCCTTAGAGAATTAGGATTTGAAAGAGCAATTAATAAAAAGTGAAGCAACGTTTAATTTATTATCAGAGACTTATACAAAACTTAGAAACGAATATAAAAAGGTCTAGATTAAAAATTACGATAGCTCCAACAACACCTTTATAATAAATAAAGAATACGAATTTATTAAGAAAGAACTAGAGTAGAAGTAGAAAGAGATTGAGTTCATTTAAAAGGAAACCGAATTAGGCAAAATAGAATTAGAGATAACTAAGAGGGAAAATATTCAATTACAAATGGATTTAGAATAAATTAGAAAAGAGGCTAACAATAGAAAGATTGAAAACAGTGAATACTTAAAGGATATTTAAGAAAAACAATTCAAAATTAATACCTTAGAGCAGTAATTACTACATTAACAAGTTAATCAATAATCATCTCAAGATTTAAATCTATAGGATCACTCAGAAGAATAAAATAATTATCATTTACAATAAAAGATGAATACCATGAAAATTTATAGAATTGAAATTGATAATTATTATCAGGAATTAATATAAACAAGATAAAAACTACTATTTTAGGAATCGTGTGGAAAACAGCAATCAGAATCTCTAGAGGAAAGATAGCAAATTAATTCGCAATTACAATAAGAAATTAATTAGTTAAAATAAAAATTAATTGAAAGTAATAAAGAAATAAAGTCAAAGTATATAATGAATTTAGTAGTAGGACTTTAGAAATTGAAATTCTAAAAACCTAAATCAATTCGCATTTATCAATACCTGATAACCAGAACCTAGATTTGACATCTCTTATTAATCAATAATCTACTCTTAATGCAAATCTTAAATAGGAAAATCAATCTTTGGGTATTTTATAAATTAAAGTAAATTTAGTCCACCAAAATAGAAAGGATTAAGTCAAGCTTGAGAGTTTGTAGAAGGAACTAGGCATCTATAAAGTAATCAATATGATATTAAGAGAAAGAACATTGTTAAATTGAGTGAATAGAGGCAATAATCTCTTGAATAAGAAATCTAATAACTTGAGAAAGTGGTTTTAAATGGTAAACAGAATATGGCTGATGTAATTAATGCTGTACTTGAGTGTGGTGGACCAACCTTAGCTGAAGCTGTGGAAAGGTTCTTAATAACGAGAAGGAGTTCGAAAATAAGTTGATAATAATTTATTAAATAATTAAATTAATTTCATTCGAAAATCAAAAAATAAATTTATTATTACTTTTTTTGTATAAACAAATTTTTTTAAAATTCCACTTTAAACTTTGTTTCAATATTCGAAATGGAGCAAATTCAGAAGATTAACATAAGATTACTCTAAGCTCTAGACTTTCATAATGATTTCATGCTTTAAAGTGGCAAATTAAGGAAAATTATTTACATTTTGAGGTGCTCGAGTTGGGGAAATTTTGAAATTAAATGATGTTTAAAATAAACTACCAGGAAGAGGATGTGCAGAATTGGATATTTGTAAATTAAAGATAAGCAATATCATTATCCAAAAATATCACAAATAAACCAATGAAATTAACGAAATTTAATAATTCGAATTTAAAGCTTATAACAAAAAATTAATAATAAAATAAGAAAACATAATTAAAATGGCAAAAGGAGCAACAAAGGGAAACAAGGGAGCCAAGAAGGCTGGAACACCAAGTCAATTATTTAATTTATTGTAGAAGCTACAAAGAATGTTAAGAAAGTCACTAAAAAGACCACTGATGCTACTCCAGCACCAGCCCCAGTGACAACTACAACACCTGCCCCTACCACCGCAACACCAGTTGCTGCAACAACACCCAAAAAATAAGGAAAGCAAGCAGCTAAACCAAAGCAAGCAACTAAAAAAGTCACAAAGAAGGCTCCCAAAAAGGATAGCAAGAAATAAGCCAAGAAATGATTAGTTATTCAAGAATTAATCTATTAATTAGATATTAAATAATTCTTTCTTCTCCTATGCATATTTGGATAAATCTAACTCTATAAATTTATCAATTTCATATAGATTTACGATTGCTTATTCAAATCACACTTCTCATCTTATGCCTCTATGGTCTAATGAAATCAATAAGAATTAAGATATCAATACATTTTATTTAGAATACTAATAAACGTGTTTTGTTTCTACCATAGTTCAATATTTTTTTCTATTAATTTCATGTTCTTAACTTAAAATAATAGTGAAACCTATTGAAAATTTTTCATATAGGCAATACTATGTTATTACATAGTGAATTATCATATTTTGTGTTTTACGAAACTTTATATCTAAATAAAATTTATTTTGAAATCCTATTACTTATTTACATTGCTTAAATAATAAATGGAAAAATACGGAAAATATTAGCTGAAAAATAAAAGATGTCTTCTAATTAATATTTTAGAGACATGACACTTTGATAAAAGGGAATTATTGGCAGTTGTAAGGATTAATTTAAAGTAAATTATTTTTTTTGAAATATTTTCAAAAGCGAAATAGGGTAAATTGAGTTTTAAGATCTTACATTATATATGATTAGGAAAATATATTCAGATTTCATATTAAAATAAGTATTTACATGAAATTGTTAACTAATATAATATAAACACCATAATATATGTTGGATATATATATCAATTGATGTTTAAGAATTAGAATTAAATTATTATTGTCGAAATAATTATTTTTACTCCTACTAACTCAATTATCAAAAAATATTTGAAAATTACAAGAATAAACCAAATTCGAAAAGTATGCTCTAATTAACATCATATTTGAAAATACCACCTTGCCGTAGAGATCATTTAATGATGGATTTTGTTAAATATTTAAGTTAAGAATTGATAATTTTAATATTCTTAATAATTTTAATGTATTTATTGTATCATTAAATTGTACATTACTCTTAATTGTCCTTTTTAGCCTTATTTTATTTTGATTGTTTTTGTGATTTATCCTTTTGTTTTTTATTGCTTTGATCAATTGCATTTTGTTTAATAGCATCCAAAAATACTTCTCTTAATTTTTTGTTTTGATCCTCCTTTATAATTTTCTGATTCCTCTTCTCTAAATATTTTAAGATAATCAAAGTATCTTCAATTCCTTTTTTCCAATATACATCTTTGCTGCTCTCCTCTGAGATATTTTCTTCATCAGATAATTTCTTAATAAATTCTATGAATTTTGAATGTGGTATCTCTTTTAATCCAGGTTACTAAGTTCTGCTTAATTCAATTGCAGTAAATTAGACTTCCCTTTCTAACTCTGAAGGAGTAATAGCAAACAATTTCAATATGTTAGTTAATAGCATTAATCTTTTCTTAAACTTTTCCTCTCTATGATGATCCACTACAAAATTTAATGCCTCATTGATAATATGAAATGCATGTTCAGCTATATGTACTGTTTCTAAAACCTTTGCTCCTACATTAAATGCTTTTTTGACGACATTCATAACTTTTTCAGATGTACTTTCTATCATTGCATTAGTATTCACTTGGAACAAGTTTGTAGATATCTCAGACATAGCATGTAAATAATAATATAAATGCCAAAACAAAGATCTGAAATAGGTTAATTGATGCTTATTTTTATTTTATTTTATTTCCTTCATTTCCTATTCGATTTTAAATGAATCTTATTAGATTAATTAATTTATAACTTAATCCTATGAGCTTACTTTGGCTTAAAGTTCTTTTAATTATTTCTCCATCTATTAAAAATATGAAATCATCATTTGTTGTGTATCAGTTTACTGATCTTGATTGATTGGTTGAACAGAATATGATACAGATCTTTCAATACATTTTACTTTTTCTAAGTACTCTTATATTTATTCCTTATTTTAGCCCGTTTAAGGCAATTAGGCTATTTATTATTTCATTTTTTAAATTTCATTTTCGATCTAGGTGATTAATTTTACTTTTGTTTTAATGTAGTTTAAATTTCCTTAGGTCAATCTCATTTGGCTTATTCTTGTGGTTGAAAGAGTTTCTATATAAAGTTATGCTTATTTATAATATTGGGTTGCTTTTTCAAATTATTGATCTGAATAATATCGATCTCCTATGTTGGCCAAAAATAAAGGATTATCAGGACATAGTCTGATTGCATTTAATAAATCTTATAGAGCTTCATCTTTCCTACCAATACTCTAAAGTATGAGGGCTATTGTAATATACTACGTTAACCTCTATTATTGTAAGCTAAATAGCTGTTAGAATTTAGTTCGATGGTTTTGTTGTAATCTTAAAGTGCCAACTCTTTCTATTAAACTTGATTTTGGTAAATACCTTCAAATATATTCTATTTTACCTCTATTATAATAATTGGCCGCCTCTCCAGGATTCACTTCTATCGCTTTATTATAATCCTATAAAGCTGCTTCCTTTTGACCCAATTTCATCAATAGAGGAGCTAAAATTCATTCAAGTTTATGAACCTCTACTAGAATATCCGCTGGATTCGTTTGGAATCAATTGTATTACTTTAGTATAGTTGTTTAAAGCCTCTTAGTGATTATTCATTTATTCATAAGCATCCCCTTAATATTTTGTGAAGTATGATACCTCTTTTCAAGATTGTACTTGTACAAGTTGGGTTGATCTACAAAGCCTTATTGTATTCTACTATGGCCTCTTGTGGCTTATTCAATTCTTTGAATATTAAACCTCAAATAAGCTAATCATAATTACCCTTAGCAATATAAGGAAGTTCACTTTTCGGATTTATTTCAATACATTTACTGCAATCAGCAATAGCAAGCTCGATTTTGTCAATAGATCTATATAGCAAAGCTACTTTAGGAATGGATGATACCTCTCTAATAATATGAAATGAAATAATTTGGATCAATTTCAATTGCTTTATTATAATCTTATAAGGCCTTCTCGTGCTCCTTGGCCGGATCTTGTAAAATGTTACCTAAGATAATCAAAAATAGTTAAAACCTCTAGTGACATAATAATCAGCTTAATTTGGATTGATTTTAATAGCTTCGGTGTAATCTTAGATTGCCTAAGAAATTTATTGTTTTTATCTATGCAAATTTCCTAAATATATAGAATGTATCCCTTACCTCTTAAAATCAGAAGATTACTTTAATTTGGATTGATTTGTAAAGATTTTGTTAAGTCATCTATTGCTCTATCTTTCTAATTCAATTCTGATAGCAACTAGGCTCTAGAAGAATATGAAACTGCACTATTAGGATTTAATAAAATTGCTTTATCAAAATCAGCAAGTGCTTTCTCTTTTTCATTCAATTTATTCCATAAAACAGCTTTATTATTTCGATAACAATATGATACCTCTATTATGATAAGCCAAATAATTATTTTGTTCCAATTCTGCAGCTTAATTATAATAGTCGAGAGCCTATTAGTTTTAATCTAAAGATTTCGATAAATTGCCTAAATAAGAGATGCTCCAATTACATACCTAAGTTAACATAAGCATCATAACATCTAGGATTTATTTCAATAGCCTTTTTATAATCATTTTATGCCTTATCTTTTTCGTTCATATTATAATATAAGATCCCTAAAGTAGAATAAACTTCAACCTCTTTCAATAAGAGTATAAGTGATTTTTGGGTCAAGTTCAACAGCTAGATTCAAATCTTAAAGAGCCAAATCATTCTTTTATTATCTTATATAAATTTTCGCTTTAAAAGATGATTACATTCTTACCCCGATTATAATAGACGACTAAAATTTTTGGATCCATTTCTATTATCTTATTAAAATCTTGAAGAGCTAATTCATCTTAATTTAGTTCTTTGTACAGATTTCCTTAAATTATTAGTAAAATTACCTCGATGATTATATGCATTTAGATGTTTTGGATTAATCTCTAAGATTCTATGAAAATCTTAAAATGCTTTTTCAGTTTAGTTCAATTTCTTGAAAAGCAAGGCTACATTAATAAAAGAATTTGAAACCTCTATTCTATAACGCAACTTCATTATTTGGGTTAATTTCAATAGCTTTTGAATAATCATTCACAGCCATATCAAGTTGATTGGTCATTTTATTAAGATCGCCTAATTCTATAGAAAAGGAATTATCTACCTCTTTTGAGATACAAATTCACATCTTCTGGATTTATTTAGATGGCCTAATTCAAAAAAGTGATGGCAAGCTCATTCTATTATAATTCTTCCAAGAAAAGAGCTTCAATAACGAATTTTGATACCTTTTTTATAATAGACATTTGAATTTTTTGGTTCAATCTCTAAAATTTTGTCATAATCCTTCATTGCTAGATCATTCTAGCCTAACTGTTTATACAAAGTAGCTTTTCAATATAAATAATAACTTACCTCGTCTAACATAATTCTCGACATCGTTAGGATTAATTTCGATCGATTTTGTGTAATCTTAAAGAGCTAATTCATTCTATCCGAGCTATTTTAGTAAATTGCCTTTTATTGAAATCAATTTCCTACCTCTGTATGTGTAATTTTTTTCATCTTTGGGATTTAATTCTAAGATTTTGGTGTAGTCACTTAAGGCTTTATCATTTTAATCAATTTCTTTATATAGGATAGCTAATAATAGGAATTCAAGTAACCTCTGTTTTTGTAGGCTTTAGCAAGTTTAGGGTTAACTTAAATTGCTAAATTGTATTCTTCAAGGGCCTTCTCTTTTTCATTCATAGCCTTGAAAAGCAATCCTTAGAAATAAAACCATTTATAAACCTTTATTCAAATAATAATTTGCAACTTTTGGATTTAATTTAATAGCCATATTATAATCTGAAAGGGCCTCTTCGTATTTCTCCATTTATTTCAAGAGTATTCCTTCCATAAAAACAAAAAAAACCTCTGCACTCATATGTTTAAGCTTTTTTCGGATCAAGTTCAATTGTTTTGTTGTAATCTAGCAATGCCTCATCTTTCCTATTCATATCTGTTAACAGTTCTGCCCTTTCAAAAAAGGCATCACTGGAAGTTGGCCTTATCTCGATTGCCTTATTAAATTCTTACAAAGCTTCCTCCTCCTTTTTCAGTGCACGGAGAATTAAACCTAATCATTCGTGATTTCCTATTACCTCTTTAATAGTAAGCTGGATAGTTCATTTAGTCTAACTCCAAAGTTTTCTAAAATACAGCAAGAGCTTCTTTTTAACTTCCTGATTCCTTCAAAATTATGCCTATTTTGGCTTAAAATAATCATACCCTTGAAGTTTATATTTTTGGTTGACTAAGGGTCTAGTTGATAGTACATTTCAGCATCATTAAGAGCCTAATTGTAAATTTTGTTCTTCCTGAAGATAAGAGCTAGATTCACATGGCAAATTACCTCTGTTATAGTAAGCTTCCTTCAGTTGAGGATTGAGTTAGATCGCTTTATTTACTTCTTCTAATGCCTATTTCGGATCTCCTTTTTTTACTAAGATCTCAGCTAATAAAGTATTCGTTTTAATTACCTTTTAAATTAAAGGCTTCTGAATAGTTGGAATTCAATTTGAGGGCTTCATTCACCTCATTAAGAGCATCATCCAACATTTGATTTTAATGTAAGGTCTGGACATAAAATATTTAACTACTTGAGATTTTTCAAAATGATCTTTGGCTTTCTTTGACCATTCTTCTTGAGTTTCCTAATTTTATAGAGTGCTATCTTAATTCATAATTTAATTTTTCAATTTAATTTTTTCTCAATTCCATATATAGAAAGTCCATATTCTGAATATTTTGATTAAATTAGTAAAACATCCTTATTTAATACAATATTACTATGTGGATTTGTGGAATATAAAAAATTCTGCGTAAAAAAACTCATTAACGAAAATGTGAAAATCATCAATTTTTGTTGTAGACCAAGACATGGAGAACGATTAAACATGATAAATTCAAATTTTGATGGATGTTTCAAGAATGCCTCCTTATAACAATGTCATTAATCTCATTTTACAAGATTCTCAAATATGAATAATAATATTTAATTAGTTGAAATTCAACTCACACCACAACTATTGATATTGACTAAAGGGTGTAAATAAATTTATTTTTATAATAATTTCTTTGAAACCATTTAATTAAAATAAAATATTATTATAAGTCATAAGCCATAAATCAAAGAAATACTAATCTTACTTTGAGAAATCATGTAAAAGAATGGTGTATTTTCTCTTATTGAATTTGGCATTATTAAAAAGATTGAACAATAAAGTATTTCTAATAAAAAAGAAGAGAGGAAAAGGTTTTGAAATTATTTATTTATTCTCTTAAGGATGATAGTTAAAATAATATATAAGAGATATTAGAGTAATTTGAAAAACTGGGGGATTATAGAACTTTTTAATAAACGATAAAAGCCATGAAATATCTTTTCAATTTAGAATTATCAAAAAAATATCTAAATCTATTTCTAAATTATTTAAAATTGGAATGCATAAGTATTAATAATAGATCGTTTAATATTTAACATAGGTGTTAAAATTTATTCTACAAAGCTGTATTATAAATAGTTACAATTATTTTGGATTAATTTTAATGTAATATTAGATAATAATTCTATAGTAATCTTAATTAAATGTAATCACTAGGCATCAAATGATCCTTTGATTAAACTGATAATCTATTGAAATTGCCCTCAGTCTTCTAATCTAATGTTATAATTAAAAAATTGGAGTAGAAATTTTAAGATTAAGTAACAATATATAATATTTCCAATTTCAAAAAGATATTTAAGATAGGGTCGAAATGCAATACCAATTTATTATAACAATAAAGAACAAGAATGTCTAAATTACAAATGCAAGATGAATTCTATCTATGTTAATTTACATATCAATTAAAAATGAATATTATAATAGATAAATGGCACATACAAAAATTGATCATATCATTTTCAGATATTGTATTGCACAATGTCATCATCTATCTACTCTGGTTTTGACAGAATATCTGGGCTACTCTATTGGTGGACTCTGGTTTTGAGCACATTTTGTCTTCTGTTCCACAAAGCACCAGAGATGATCAATGAAATCAATACTACACCTCCCACTGCGCAAACGACTGAAATCAATAAGACATTATCGTTTGAATTGTCTTGAGGCTATTTGAGGCCTTTTTTGGTTTGGTTTTGGAATGCATTTTCATCGCTGGAATCATCATTGGAATTGCCAACATAATCATTTTGTTGGAGGATATCATCATTGAGGGCAGGATCTACGTAATCATCGTCTCCTTAATTGACGGGTTCATTTCCATAATAGGGATCATCGGAGCCAGATGATGAGCCAGAGTTGTTGGTTGAGGGATCAGGTTGTTCTGTTGAAGTGAAATTAAGAGAGGTGATGGTTTGTATTTCAGCAGTGTTGCTGATGACGGTTCCCAATTCAACAGGATTAAAGGATTGAAGATTGGCAGCGATTTGTTCAAGATTGGATTGAGAATTTTGTGCTTCAGCAGTGCCAATGTCAGCATTGTCAATAATGGCCCATTGAACGTCAACAAAGTTAGATAAGAATCTTCTGTTCTTTGACTTGTAGGTTCCGACAATGAAGTAATTGTATGGATCACCTCCAAGAAGGGCAAAGGCATATTATAAGAATTTGTCTCCGAAGAATTCCTCACTAGTTATTTCCAATCTGGTTGAAATCATCAAGGTGTTTTTGAGTGAAAGAGATACTTTGCAACCAGCGGTCACAACAAAATGGATAGTACGATTTTCGTAGAAATAGTTATTGGAACCACAAGCATCGGTGTACTCCAAGAGATTCATGTGTTGATTGATCTAAAAATATTAATTTTATAAAAATACCCTTGTCAATCCAGGTTGAACCAATTTTCCATCGGCACTGACTTGGACAATATTTGGAACGTCGAATTGCAACTCAATGATGACCCACTCATTATTTGGTCCCGCGATAGTTCTCTTACTCAACCAATAGTCTGAATTGGTTGGATTCTCTCCCTTATTGGTCATGTTGATGGTGGTATTGATTTGGATGAGTCCAACGAATTTAGACTCTCTTGAGTTCTGAGGTTCAGGTCCATTCCAATTCCATTCTGCGAAGGCATTCAATATATTTTGGAATCCTGATCCAATCAAAGTAGTTGGTGAATACAGCCTTAGATTCTGATCTGGAGCCGTACTTAGGAAGTTCAAGACTCCGACGTTGAATAAGGGACACCAATATCCATTCCACAATTCTTGTCTGCTGCAGAAGGTTGCACTTGGGCCGAAATAGGAGTTATTACCAATGGCCTGACCCTTTTCGCCAAAGAAGTTACCAGTCTGATCTTCAACCAAGAAGTTGACCTAACCAATGCATTCCATTTGGCCGCAACCTCCATACCATCCTAACTTAGCGTAATTGGGGTTTCTCAAACTATAGAGCAATGCATTAAATTCACAATTTTAACATAGTGTGTTAGTCAAGTAATGTTGTCCTACGACATCCAAGGCGTATACGTTTTATCTAAAGACAGCATTGTTACTGCATTATGGGAATTGATCGTAAGTCAATCTGTAGCCATCAAATTGGACATTGTCAAGATAGACTCTGGTGTCCATTCTTTGAATTGTGTTGATGATGTCAGCATTATTTGATGATCTACTGACTGGTGGATAAGCGTTTGATGACACTGAAACTAATTGGAATGCAACAGTGTTGGTGCATCTCAAACCTTCAAAGACTGCTCCGACGTAACCGTTGGAAACTTGAACCACATTGGCGTAATTATTGGATGATCCTGGTTTGATAACAACACCTCTGTCAGATTCAATAATTTAGAAGTCCTTCAATTTAAAGGTTTCAGTGTAAATGGATGCCATAACACCGACACCTGAGTTATAGGCTTGGAGTTGTTTGACTACATTGCATTTGGTATTGGATTAGGTTATGTGGAAGCATGCCTAAACTGCGTTGAAACATTGGTTTGAGAAGAATCCTGCTTAAGATTCATCGTCGCAATGAGTGGCCATAATGTGGAATCCTGTGTCAGTGGAACCGATACCAACATTGTTAGAAACAAGGATGAAATTCCTGGTGATTTTGGTACCTGAAGCATATCTGAAGGAAGCCAAGACAGCCCAATTGTAAGTGCCAGTGATGGCAGAATTGATAGAAATCACTCTCTTTTATACCAAGACCAAAGTATTCTATTGGAACTTGACGTATTTGGAATTGATGAATTGAACCAAAGCTTTCTATCCATTGTAGAACACATTTTGGAGAGCATTAACATATTCTGAATCTTCCACTTTGAATAAGTAACCATCACTATCATGGAATGAACATCCAACAATATCACTAGAAGGAGCAGGATCTCCACCAACAGCACTTTAGAAATCTAACCCTGCAAATTCTTTATTCACTTAGCCGACATTAATGAATTCAACACCTTGCAATTACACATACCCTCTTCTCAATCTTGTCTTTTCAGTAAAGGCATAAACTAACACTCGAGCTCCCCAAGTTTCTCCTGAAATTCTGATGTTTCTAGTCAAGTGTAAAACAGTTGCTCTGGTGTCTACAAGAGTACCAGTAGACACTCCATTGTGATTGTATCTGAGGGAAACACTAAAGATGACATTGGTTCCAACAATCTAAGTGATTTGGACTTTTTCAGCTTCATCTGGATTGGCACCAGTGGGTGAAATAACAATCCAATCACCAATTTGCCAATCTGTAGCGTCTGTCACACTAATTTAAGTGGATCCAGCTGATGCAGTTGCTGTTAATCTGGCAACCTTGCTTTATGGTACTTTACCATACAATTCCAATCCTCCAGTCACGGCTAAGACATTGTTTCCTGCCTCGATGTTGTTATCAATTAAAAGTTCATAATCACTTGAAGTGCCAGTGAGCACGATGTTGATGATGCCAGTGAATGCTTGGGAAACACTTCCTGCAACTAATCTACCATTTCTTACAAAGATCTTTCTGGCTCTTAAGGTGCTGACTGGTCTTCCATTATCAAACCACAGTTCTCCTAGGATCAAAATGGTGTCGAATTCTGGCAGTTCGATATCAATTATGATGATGTATTCGTAAGAGATTGTGACGTTTTCTCCTGCCACTGGTAGTTTACCATTTGGCCATATTGATACGTCTGACCATTTCTTTTACACCTTCACAACCACATCGTCAGTGTAGGCTGGGCAGGTCTCTCTGCAGAAGATTCCGTATAGGGCAAGGGAATCTTATTGTACTCGTTATTTGCCTGAGACACAAATGTAGAAGAAGGATGTGCCTCTATCGTTGTACCAGTCTCCATTGTTGCAAGTGTCTGGATTTGGAATCTCTGAAACTTAACTGTAATTTGAAAGGAATTTCTGATTTCTGTTTCTGTAGACATCGAAGGTTTCCCTTTGAACTGTGTAGTTGAATCTGAATACAAGACCTGGTTCTTGGGAACTCATGTATTATGACGCCATGATGGATAGACTGAGCCAATTGTTGTACCAATTCACATTGTAAGTGTATCCTAAGGCGAATTGAGAGGCATAACTGTAAGCAATATCTCCGCTCCAGATTCCAACGTATTATTCGTATTGATACTTAGTCAATTCGAGGGGCAATGGGGCATTCAAAGAGGGAACTCTGTAAATCCTTAAAGCTTGATTGACATGGGCGTCGTAGGGAGTAGGGTAATTGAAGACCACGTCTCTTAATTT